CTTTCATAAAAACTTGCAAATTGCTCAATTCACGATTAACTAGATGGGTCCTTGCTTTACAAGAATACCAATACACAATAGAGGGATGTCCGGGTAAAGATAATATAGTGGCAGATTCTTTAAGCCGCTACTGTAAAAGTGATATGTCACAGGAAAGAAATGGTGATGATGAACCAAAAATAGTGGTTGCAACTGTGAAAAGACAAGCAAATACTCAAACAATGTTAGACTTAGAAAATTTAAAAGAACATCAACATTTGGACCCACAATATAACAACATAATACAACAAAAGTTAAGAGAGAAGGATGGTGAAGTTTTACCAAAACCTTTGTTAAATTATGAAATAGAAGATGGACTTTTACTAAAGAAAAACAACAATGATGTATGGAAGGTTGTAATACCAGAAGCATTAGTAGAAAGTTTGATATGGAGTTGTCACTTTTATTATTTACATTGTGGTCCTCAGAAGTGTTACCAAATCTTAAATGAGAGCTTTATATTCAAGAATATGACCAGGAAAATCAGAGTTATATTAAAGCGATGTGAAACATGCCAAAAATGCAAGCCAAATAATAAAACTAACTTTGGAGAAACAAGTGGTGTCAGTGTGACTGAAAAGAACAAACTTTTGGCCGTAGACTTTCTAGGACCTTTACCAATGGGAAGATCTGGCTTACAATATGTGTTTGTTGTAGTTGATGTGTTTACAAAATTTACTAAACTATTTCCTACTAAAAGAGCAACTAGTCAGATTGCACTAAACAAAATATTTTTAGAATACGTCCCTAATTATGGAAAACCAAAGAAAATACAAAGTGACAATGCTACACAGTTTCATAGCAAGCTCTGGCTAAACAAATTAAAGGTAGAAGGCATTACTCCAGTGTTTTCCCCAATTAGACATCCACAACCCAACTTAGCAGAGCGTATAATAAAAGAGACAAAGCGATGCTTAAGAAGTTATTGCCACAATAATCAGAAAACTTGGCCTGAGTACATCAGCATAATTAATGAGTTTCTAAATGAAGTACGAAACGAAACTACAGGTTTCACCCCAAACGAACTGCATTTAAATAAAAGGAATGTTAGATTTTGGAGCAATGTCTTAGGGTTACATAGAGAAGATGACCAGAATTGGGTAGTTAAGCTAGAGTTAGCAAAAACTAGAGCCGAAAGAAAGAAAGAAAACAGAGCTAGAAAATTGAATACGCAACACAAGATAACAGAATTTGAAGTTGGAGAGAAGGTTTTGTTAAAAGCTGCACCGATATCTAGAGCAATATTAGGTGAAACAAAGAGCCTTTGCCAAATTTTTGAAGGTCCATACAAAATTCATCAAAAGATTGGAAAATCAACTTACATTTTAAGTGACTTGAGTGGTTTAAATTTAAAGGGTCCATATCACACAGAAAGTCTGAAGAAATATTTTTAAAAAACAAAACCTGCCAAAGATACAAAGGAGGATGAGGGTAGTAAAAAAAAATAATAATAATAATAAAACACAACAAATAAAATAAAACAATCAAAACAAAATCATTTAAATTAACATATAATCTTAAAAGAAAACAATAACAATAAAAGCCAAAATTAAAAAAATACATATAAAATAATGAATAATAAAAAAAAAGTGTATGAAATGTATTATTATAAACACAACACTAATCTTCTTTTGAATTTGCAAAACAGATGATGGCAGCAGCTAGTTTCTACATTCCAAAGAAAGGAGGAAAGCGTCACCACGAAGCCTTCCGAAAGTGGCTGGCCAAGCTCCCACTTGACGACCCGAGACGAGTGCAGCTTGCTTCAGGCGTCAAGCCGAGAACGAAACTAGCGAATCTCCTGGAGATCAACAACAGGAAGCTGGAGGCTCAGAAGCAGCGAGAGGTGCTCGGTAGACGGTGTGAGCAGCTATCTGAGGAGGCGGACATCACTAAGTACGCCGATGTCCAAGCCAAGAAGAGGCTTACAGAAATGGAGAGGGTGCTGGGCTACCCTATCGTCGCCCGGAAGTATGTCTTGCATCCTTGCGACATACCACCAAAGGGACCCCCAACTGAAGACTCCAGCGACCGGGAGGTGCTGCGCATCCTGCACGAGATGAAGGTCCAGGAGCCCATTCAAAGGATTGATCCGGTGACCAGCATCTTCAGCCCGCCTAGAGCCCATCCTGAGGAGGACGTCCTGGAGATGGAATTAGAAGAGGATTTCACCCTGGAGTTTTAGAGGACTCTTCAAGACTCCAACCTAAAGACTGTTATGTATTATTAGTTGTAAGATTTCATGTTCCTATTAGTTATTTTATTTTTTGCTCATTTCAAGACTGATTTATCTAAAATTTTAAAAATTTTCTGTGATATTAGAATTTTGTGAAACTCGCAATAACAATTAGCTTCGTCACAAAATTGAGGGGACAATTACGACGTTACCAAAATTTACCGCCGTAATAATAATATAATAGGCCTACTCAATTAACCAAATTTAGATTACTATCAAGCTTTCTAATAGGCTCAAACAATAACCAATGAAAGACGTTATTCCAAATAGCCTAGGTTGTTGCACAGTTGCAATAAACACCGATCCTCTTGATGCTTTGTAATTTCAAGGTAATAATAAATAAAATTCTAATAAATACCTCTCTAATTAATAGCAGATTTAAGTCAAATTTCATTAATGAATAACTTGAGATAACCTACAATACGTACACTTACCGTTTCGATATCATAACGTCTGCCGATACAACTTTTACTTTCATCAAAGGCCATAATTAAATTAGACTCCGACTAATCATTCTTTTATTTAAATTATCCTATAACTGTGATTTGTTTTAATTACTGTAAGATTGTTTAAATTCATATTAAGAATAACCTTATACGGATGCCTATTTACAATCATCACTAACATAACCTCCAGGACATGACATTTGACAGACATCGGCACCCGGCCCGGTTTGAGAATTGAGTGAGAGGAAGTAAAACAATCACATTACGTCATATAGTTTTTTCTGCGCGGTACGTACTCCGGTATCATGGCAGGGCGGGATTTTTGAAAGAATGAAGACTTCTCTCTTGCTAACTCGGCTTTTTAGCTGGAAGAGTAGAGTCCTCAAAGCTACATTCGGCAAACACTACACTCGGCTTTGTGCTGGAGTTGGTAAGAGCTGAAAGTTGGCAACTTAAACTACAGATTAGGTTTTCTTTATTAACAAAATTAAATTTCTTTCTCAGGGGTTACATTATTGCGAGTTAGGGAATTCTTGAGTCATTAATATTTTGTGATATAATTTAAAGTAGATTTTTTTTTTTTTTTCAATTTCAAGTTAAATATTTATGAATTGTTAAATATTTGCGAATTGTTAAGTGAGAAAGATCACTGTGATAATTATTTAATAAGACTGAATGTTAGATTTAATAGATTTGTTGAATAAATATTTAATTGTTACAGCATAAACTCTTGACTTATTATTGTAGGGACACGCTCTCATCTCTCTAGATAAAAATAAAGAGAATACAATATAAGCTTTGATTAGAAACAACCCCACTCATTAAATCGGCTGGCAAAGAACCTCTCCCTGAAGGTAGCTCATTGCTCTACAAAAAATAGCTAGGGTAACCAAAATAACCAATATTTTGAGTTGGAGTGTTGTAGAGTGATGACTGTTTACGGTCAATTTAACTGTCTGGTGCATGTTAAGGAAAACATAGGCAACCTCAGCTGCAGAAACCAACTTCATGATTACAACACGAGAAGAGGAGAAATTTTAAACATTCCTTTCTGCAGTCTGAGCAAGCAAAAAGACTGCTATCCTGTCCTTGGCATTAGGCTCTACAACCATCTGGACAAGAACATAAAGTCACTCCCTCTCAGGAATTTTAAAAAGAAAGTCGAAGAACTACTAAAGTCACGGCCTCTCTATTCCATTATAGTGAATATTTTGTTGAGGAAAGTGATGAATGGATCTCATGACCTACTGCCATGTTAACCAATTCTAAAAGTATTAACACTTAACTTTTTTTGACGAAATCTATCCAGTCATTACTGGTCACCGATGGATGTATGGTATAAAGGTAAAGGTATAAGTTTCATTTTAATAAATTACATTTTACTAAGTTACATTACATTACTAAGTTAGTTTACTAAGTTAGTGTTTGTGATTAAGTTACATTTTACTCAGTTACATTTTTTACTAAGTTACATTTTATTAAGTTACATTTTACTAAGTTACATTTAACTGAGTTACACTTTACTCAGTTACATTTTTTACTAAGTTACATTTTATTAAGTTACATTTTACTAAGTTACATTTTACTCATCATTATGTATAGGTAGATCGACATAATATTAATAAACCTGTAAATAACCAACTGACTCACCAACAAACAACTCATCATCTACACTCTGTAAACAAACAACAGGACGTCCAGATACAACCATGTCACTGACCACTGAGCAAAATTAAAACAACAAGGTTCCATGTATGACATAGGACTTTGTTGAACTTTGTGTGGAGTTTTTGAAGATCAATATGGTTCTAACTACCAAATAGAACCTTCTTTAATTAGGATTTTGGTCTTTCTGGAAATGGAACGTAATTGTTTTGCTTATATAAAAAAAACTACCCACAATTCACCATTACAACTTTCATAAACAGCTGTAAAATGACAAATAGAACCATAATGCATTAAAATCTCAATTTTGACAAAAATGTCAGTTAGAACCCTAATGCTCCAAGCCTGCGTCTTGTTAAAACTTAGAAGTAACTGAAACTGAACGTTCTGAAAGTTCCCGTTGCATTATTTTGTAACACTGAAACTGTAACAGAAAACGGGAACGGGCTGTGGAGCATTTTGACGTGCGAATAGTCACTTCGAACTCGTTCATTATTGGTCAGAGGGAGGAAGGGAGAGGACTGAAACTGACTGAGGGAGGAGAGTAGATTCATTAGAGAGAGCGAAAGCAGAAGCGTCCCACTTCCAATTCCAAAGCCCACCCTATTCCTATTGTCAATATTGTCCAAGTCGAAGTGTCAACCAATGAACCAATTATTGTTTGTCTAGGTTATGTTTATTATGTTGGAAATGCTACAATTATTAATTATCCGAGCTTAAAACTTGACCTTTTACTGGTAAGGTATACCCAATACTAGGCCTAGGCCTACTTTTATTCAGTAATTTACTGGATTTGCTTTCTTAGGTTTAACTTATGTTTTTGTTTGACATTGTATAGAGAATAGACTACATTCATAACGTATGACTTAACTTAAACTTACCAATTTCAAGATTCATTGAGCCTTTCAGTAATATTTACAATAGGCCATGTCACTGAGGATTTGGATGCCTAAGTTAAGTGATGATTTAAAAAAAAAATCTAATATAGGTAAAAACAAATGCTGCAGAGGTGGAATAGGGCCCACCTAAGTAGTCCTATTGTTATCAAACAGGTTCATAGCTAAACCAAATTTACACTTAGACCCTTGTCTAATAAAATAAAACATTAGGTTTAAGCTTAGGCCTATGCTGTATGAGGAACACTCAACTTAAATTTGAAGCTTATTATTTTTGGGCGTTGCTGCCTACTGGATAGCGACTTCTGTGCAGGAGGGACAGATCCGACAAAACTTTGATGAGCTGGGATCGTTTTCCTTTTTAAGTGTTTGTGTTAAGTTTCTTCAAAAATTATTGAACTAACTGTATAACTTACTAGCAAAGTAAACATTTTAACATAGGAAAATAAATGTACGGTATTCATTGCGACTTACGTGACCATGGGAACCTATATAGATTTATATATCACCAGAAACTAGATTTTTATCTGCAAAAATTTCTCCGTGCTCTAAATATTAACGGAACTAAAACTTACGGCCATTTAAAGTTTTGTTTACTTATGTAAAATGACTAGGCCTAACCTAACTTATTTGTTAGCCTACGATATTTCCTCACAAGAAAATTTATATCTTACGTTAATTCTAAGTGATTAAAGTAACTATTAGAGTATTAGACTCACTTTTAACCTCAAAATAACGGTGGAAATATTTTTGGAGATCACGAATATTAACTTAAGTAAGATAGTTTAATGTTTTGATTTATTCTATTTACAATCTTGCCTGCCTGCAGTCAACTGAAATAAAATGAAAACTGATCACTGAAGAGAAGAGAAGAGGATAAAATATAAGTGAATGCAAAGGCATTCAAACTACATGTTTTATAGACATCTAAAACACAACTGAGCACTGAATTTTTCATATCTTACTAGGCATGTGTGGAAGGCAAGTTGGGCTTTGGATTTGTGGCTGTATTAAGTGTTTTGAAGTTAGGTTAGATTAGGAAGGTAAAGTGTAGGTTATAGCATAGACTAACCAACACAAGTAGACTTCTCATCCCAATGTAAATTTTGAAGCACGTTTTTCGTGTCTAGTTCATGTACGTGACACAAAGATGCTAGTGTCGATGAAACTTTGTTTCAACTATTTTAGGGTTAATTTCTTGATTTCTGCTTTACTGTTTGGTTATATAACTAGGGGACAAGTTATTGTTTATGATTAGATCGTATTATTTGGTTAAACGAGGTTTTAAATGGCTGTAATAACGGGAAACAAATTGTAAACAAAACACGACCTCTACATAAACCGTACATGAACTAACAATAAAATTGTCTTCAGCTGTTCCATAAGGATGAGAAATCTACTAAGGGAGTATGTTTTATTAGCGAATTTCCCTATAGGGAAGTAGCTATTACCGTAGGTGGCACGGTAAGACCTAGACCCGGGACCGATTTACTTTTTCATTTTGATGTCCCCAGAGACCAAAAACACTATTCGTTCAAATTTTTATATATGTATATATATATATATATATAGACTTATATATATATATATATATATATATACGTCCGTGAACGCGATAACTTGAGTAATTTTTGTCCGATTTTGATGAAATTTGGTTTAAAGGTGTAAAGCGGGATAAACTTGAATGAGTTCGCGAACCAGCACGATCGGACCATGGGAACGGGGCTTTACGGGGCGTTTTATGGGGTAAAAATTGGTTTTTCTCACTTTTGACCCTCAAAACACAAAATTTCCCAATTTCTCTTTAGACCTTTTTAAAGAGCTTAAAAAAACAAATAATTTAGTATATAAAAGTATTTTTGTTCGATTATTAGTAACGGAGAAAATTAAAAAAAATTTAAATTTAAAATTCCCATGTTATTCTTATGGAGAATATTGTCAAATGTTGTAGTTTGCTTGTTTATGAATATATTTTGATCAAACTTGGCAAATTTATTTATTTTGTACTAAGCTATCAATATTTTACTCAAAAACACACTTTATTAGTTTCCTTGTAGCAGCAAACCTAGGTACTCGTTAAACCTAATGTTATTAAAATATATTTAACTGAAAATCAATTCAGACAAATGGAAATTCGCTTAGTCGGCAGGTTTGCTGCGGCGGGGGTATTTATGGTTATAGTGAACAGAGTTGATCATTTATAAGTATTACACACAGGCTGTTTTGTGCTATTGAAATAGATAGCCTAGTAAGTTAAAAACAACAAAATAACAATTTGCTTGCAACATAAACTTTTTTTTAAAAATATTGATAGGCAAAAAATATAGCCTACTCAGCCCATCCATATTAATTTAGGTAGAACTTTAAACAAGTGCACAAACCTCAAACTGGATTTTCAAGTCAATAGAAATATCATCATTATGGCAAAAATTATGTTAAAAATCTTGGAAATTGTTGGCCCATGCAGTAAACATATCTCACCATGGTTAAATTGTAATAGACTGAGTAAGTTACGTTCTCTCTCTATTCATGTGAGACGAGTAACTGTGTAGTACTACTAGACCCATGGGGATTGATTTAGGGCTCAATTAGGCTGCACTTAAGTATCTGTTCTACACTAATTTGAATGAAAAATATCGATATATAGATTATTCGATATATCATTCAAAAGAGTGTAAGAAAGATTACTAAAGTACAGTCCTCAATTAATCAATTCCTGAGAGCCTGCACAATTTTTCTTGCTTTAATTTGTTTCCAACATCTTACAGAGGTATCTGATGAAACTTCATGAAAACTTAGCCTCTGATACACACTGAGTTAGAAGAATATTAAACATGTGCTTCGGACCATTGAAAAGGATGTGTCATTGGGGACCAATTGCTGCATTTGGTAAGATTTTAATAATGTTTCAAAACATAGTCTAGTATACTATGTTAGTGTCTATTTACATAGTAAATCAAATCAAATCAAAGCTTTATTTTCCAATAGACATTCCAAATGCATGTGGAATGGTCAATGAAGGTATTATGTTGGTAAACATTTGTCAAGGAAGAGTACAATAGAGATGTAGAGTACAAGGTCAAATTAAAAGATACAAAGAGAATATAAAATGCATGCAGATGAGGATAGCTATAAGAGAAAAAAAGTACAATCATTACTCAATATTGTAAAATATAAGTGAATGCAAAGGCATTCAAACTACATGTTTTATAGACATCTAAAACACAACTGAGCACTGAATTTTTCCACTGAGCTAAAATTATAACTGGAGGTAGCACTGCCATGGCAGAAGTCTGTCAAAAGCGTGTCGCTGATTTTGTTAGGTTGGTATAGCAGTAAGTTTTCTTATCATAGCAATGACATGGCTTCTTATAACTAGGTTGGTATAGCAGTGAGTATTTTTGTCATACTTGAATACTTTTAATACTTTAATAATTTTCTTTGAAATGGCGACCATACAAAGTAGGTATTTTAAGCCAAGTATAATAATAGTTATAGCAATAATATGGCTTCTTATGACACCAGACTCACGCAAACATGGCGGCTGGCGACACGCATCTTTGACATTCAGTGCTACCTCCAGTTAGAATTATAGCTCAGTGAATTTTTCATATCTTACTAGGCATGTGTGGAAGGCAAGTTGGGCTTTGGAAAAAACAGCTGTTGGTTCAGTAAACAGCAATTTGTTAAACATTTATGCTCTTAAAATTTTACAAGTTTTTCACGATAAAAGTGTTTATATAGTTTATTTTTGTAATATATGAACTGAAGAATTAGATGAGGAACTCAATTTACCCATAGTAAGTTTGCAACTCTCAGTAAATTAATAGATTTCAAAGTTTGAAGATTGTCCAAGGTTCATTAACCAAACTTTTTGTGAGTTAGTATTTTGTTTCTTTTGTTTTGTTTGGTTTTAATACCAAAACATATGGTTCTTATGAAAAGGGTTATAATCAAAAGGATACAAAATTAATAGTAGGCCTAATTTGAAATCAAATATAAAATGAAACAAAAAAGTATCATTCCAATGTTATTAATGTTTTTATTGCTAAAAATGACCCTGGTTTGTCAAACAAGAGGAAAATTTCTGAAAAAGCAAGCAATGGATCATCATATCTTTGAAATGGATAGAGTAACGTTTAACTATCTTTCCTTTATATATACACACACAAAATCAAAAACTAAAATTCAGCTAAGTAAACTTAAGTACAAAACAAATAAAAAGTACTGGACATTGCTGCTTAAGAATGAATCATTTGAAGCAATACACTTAGTCAACACAATTGTGCTTCTTATGCTTTTATGTGGTGATATACACCAAAATCCAGGTCCTACAGGAGAAAATATTACAAAAGAACAATGTCCTTTCCGTCTTAAATCATTTACTAGATTAGAATCACACATTAAAGCCTCACATAAGGACCAAGCATTAACTGACAAATCAAAGGTATCTTTGCAAAATGGGTCTATACAAAAAGTCACTTACAGTTACAGTCAAGAACCTGGCCCTTCATCTACAAATGAATTTGCTGTAGTGATACCTCCTTCGCGTGATCCTAAGTACACCAGACCTTGTTTGAAATATTACGATGATAATGATAGTGACTCAGAGTCAGATTTTCACACGTCACTCAAACCTAATAACCAATTGACTGATAACCTTACAAACAATACAACAACACAAACAACACAACAAACAATACAACACACAACAACAATACAATACAAACAATATAACAATACAAATAATATAAATGGCATGAAAAGCATTGAAAACTTTGAACAAAATACTGACATTGTTCCAAGTAAAAAGAAAAGTATAACATGCCCCCATTGTGGAAAATCGGTAAAAAGTCTAGTTATTCACATAAGCAGAGCCCATGCAACAGTACATAGAGATAAAATAATTGAAAAATACGTTGATGACTTACAAGAAAAGGTTACCCACAAAGTTAAAACCAAATCAAAAGACACTGACTTTCAAAAAATGTTGTGTGATTGGGAAGAAAAATTCGATAAAATAACAGATCTAGATAACATTGAACAGTTGAATCAAAAAATGAACGAGTTTACAACATTTTTAGCTTCAGCCGTAAACTATTTGCCTGGACCTAAACACCCTGCAATGAAGTATTACAACTTAAGAAAATCAAACCTAAGTTTGAATAATGGTAAAACCTATAAAACCTCAAGCAATCCAATGCGAGCTTCAAAAAGAGAAAAGTCTAAAAGAAAAGAAAAATATTTGTACGAAAAAGCACAATATCTGTATTATAATCAAAGGCGAAAAGCTTGCAGGATGGTTATGGGATCTGGCGATGTATCTTGTAAGATATCTACAAATGATTTGTACAAGGAGTTCCACAATCGTTTTGCTAAGCAAAATACATCAGTTAGAGATCACTACGAAAACACACAATCGACAACTTTTAATGAAGAAGAAGACTTTGAAGAAATAATTGTCACTGCAGAAGAAATGATGAATGCTATGAAATCAATTGCTGTTGACACTTCTCCTGGTGTAGACAAAGTGTTAATGAGAGTTATAAAATGTAAGAAAGTGTCGGTTATTTTGGCAAAGATATGTACAATCATGATGCTAAAAGGTTGGGTCCCTGATTGTTTTAAACTTGTAAGAACAGTTTTAATTTACAAAGGAGGTGACGTTAAAGATGCTAAAAACTGGAGACCTATATCTATTTGCTCTGTCTTACGAAGAAGTGTTGAAAGAGTTCTAGATAAAAGACTGAGAGGTCATATACGTTTTAACCCAAACCAAAGAGGTTTTACTAGTACACCAGGAACAACAATCAATGTAGAAATAGTGAACTCAATTTTAACAAAAACTAAGACAGAGGAAAAAGATGTTTCATTGGTTTTTCTAGATATTAACAAAGCTTATGATTGTGTTGGGCACGAACACCTAGTTAAAACGCTAGAATCACATAACATTCCTAGGAAGTTAAAAACTTTGATAGCAAATCTTCAGTTAGACAACCAAACTATTATTGAAACTGGTGGAAGTAAAACAAAAGCGATTCCCTTCAAACGAGGGTTACTACAAGGAGCACCTTTATCCCCTACGCTGTATAATTTGTGCACAGATTTCATTTTAAATGAACTAAGTGAAAAAGAAGTTCAAATGGCTTACGGATACGAACTTCTGCCGGATTTAGATAGACTAACCATAATGGGATTTGCTGATGATTTAGTTATTATTGGAAAAGACAAACAAAGTGTTGCAACCCTTACTTCAATGGCCATTAATTTACTTAATTCGATCGGACTAGAAATAAACCCCAACAAATGTCAGTCTATCGTGATTGAAAAAGGGCTTCTAGTTGAAAGTAATATCTGGTTAGATGGAAACTTATTCATAAAAAGTATTTCAGATAGTGAAAACATAAAGTATTTAGGTGTTAACTTTTCCCAAGGGATCGTTTTTAATAAAGAAAGAATAATTAAACAATTCAAATCCCAATTAGAAAGACTAACATCGACTACATTACTTTTGTCAAGCCAAAAGTTTAATATAATTAATCAATGTATATGGCCAACGTTAATATATCCATTTCAAAATGCTCCACTCCATAAATTACCAGTAGCATTTTTAACTGACTTGGACAAACTGGTTAAAAGTAGTGTTAAAGAAATATTAAGCTTACCAACTGACACTCCAGATTTTATGTTATATAGCCCAAAAAAATATAAAGGACTTGGATTAATCAAGGCTCAATGGGAAGCATATATTCAACAACTTAATTCTATACAAATACTCAGACGGGTTAAAAATTGTTATACAATAAATGAAGACAAATTTAAACGGATAGAAACAATTTGTTTAAAAAAATTACACCTAGAAGAAATTGATCGCAATCAAACAATAAATACCCAAAAATTAAGAAATGACTTAAGAGAAAAAGAGTTTGAAAATTGGAAAAGCTTAAAACAGAAGGGTAAAGGTGTTGAACTTTTCAAGGACTATACTCCGGGAAATAAAAGTATTATTAATAAAGAAGGCTTGTCAGAATCTGAGTGGAAAGACAGTATAAAAATGATTGCAAATGTGGTGCCAGTGCGTGTTCTCCACGGCAGAAGTCAGGGCAATAACCGCTGCAGGCATGCCTGTGGTGAGATTGAAACCCTTGCACATGCCCTTGGCTTCTGTCCGTTTGGTGAACTTCTAAGAAACACAAGGCACCACAAAATAAGAAGTATCATAGCAAATGCCTTCCGAAAAAGGTATAATACATGGGAAGTGCAAGAAGAAGTACACTGTCTTTCTTCTAACGGAAGCACCAGAAGAGTTGATATTTTATTGATTGAAAGAGAAACTAACAAAGGCATAATTCTCGATCCTACAATTCGATTTGAAATAAACATAAATCAAGCTAACGAAGTAAATGAAGAAAAGAAAAAAATTTATGATTCTACCTTTGAATATTTCAAGCAAAATTTTAAAATTTCGAAAATTGAGGTGATTGGATTGTTTATTGGTTCTAGAGGAACATTATCAAAATTTTTTGTGAACTTTTGGAAACAATATGATTTGGACAGATCCTTTTTGAAAATTATTATTCATGAAACATTAAGAGGTTCATTGGCCATAATGAGAAATCATCTATATGGAAAACATCAAAATTAATCAGTCTTATAGCTGTATAATCCTTCGATATTTTATGTTTACTATTTTTCTGTGTCTTTGGCAACCTTATTTTTTAAGGCAGAGGTATTTATTTTTACAAATAAATTCTTTTCTCTAATGGTTTAGGAAGTTCTAAAAAATCGTCAAGTTTGTAGAATGGGTTCTTTACTAGCCACATATGAATTTTAGCTTTAAAAACTTTGTAAGGAAGTGATAGCAATTTGTTGGGCAATTTATTTAGACATTTTAGGCCCAGAATTTTATGACTTTTCTTTGTTTTGCTCAGTCTAACATGGGGTATATCAAATTGATGTCTGTTTCTAGTTTGAAAATCATGAAAATCACTCCTTATGGCATGTGAGTCCATTTCCTTAAAACTAGTTAACCTGATATTAAATATATATAAATTAATAACGGTTAAAATATTAAATTCAATAAAAATGGGACGACAATGTTCCTCAGGATCAACCCTAGCCATTATGCGCAGGACCTTTTTTTGTAATATTAAGACATCGGAGACATGAGAACTATTACCCCAAAAAATGATACCATAGTTCAAGGCAGACTGAAATAAAGCAAAGTAAACTGATCTTAAGTAACTAATAGGAACTAAATCATTAAGCTTACGAAAAAGGCAAATATACTACTTAACCTAGTACAGAGTTGCGTTATATGATCAGACCAAGTCAGTTGTTTGTCAATATGGACAACCAGAAACTTTACCACATTGGACAGTTCAGCTTCAAGTAAGACCTATATCATGTAGAGGTCTTAGGCAAAATATGACTGATTGGGTTTTGTCTTTATTCAAAAGAAAACTATTGGCTGAAAACCACTCGGCAGCAGTATTGACTTAGACTGTTGCAGATTCTGATGACAGTCTGTTGCTGATTGCAGATTTGACTGTTGTTATTGACTTTGAGTAGTTAGTTTTGTATTCCTAAACAAAAAGGGCTAAAAAGGCTTTTTCAATAAAGTGGACCTTATACTGTATGGATGGATAATGAATTTAATTTAATGTTTACAAAAAGAATATTATAGACTTTTGGTTTTAATATAGATACAAGTTTAAGTTACTATTACAACACATGAAGTTCTGATTCGAAGGTCTGGTAGAGTATGTATGAGTATGGCCATACGTTTCTTCTGATGAAAGATAGCTTCTTCAAAATAACAGTTTTCAGAGTTCAAAGTTTCACACATACACAATTTACATTCAAATTAAAGAAGTTAATAGGTTAGCTATTATTATTTTACTAGAACACACACTTTATTAATTTCCTTGTAGCAGCAAACCTAGGTACTCGCTAAACCTAAAGTTATTTAAATAGATTTAATTGAAAATTAATTCAGACAAATGGAATTTTGCTTAGTTGGCACGTTTGTTGCGGCAGGGGTATTTTTAATTTGTACTGTTGTATTGTTGGGCACATGAAAATTTTGTAGGCCTAATCTACTCTCTCTCATACTCTGTTACATTGATCAGCTGGCATGCCTAATAAATACTTAACAGTTGCCTTGCTGTTGATACTACAGTAACTTATTACATAAAGCTAAATTAATAATGACCAGTGTACATGTTGCTCGAATTTGAGCAATTAATTGCAAAGTATTACAGGAGTTATTTAAAAACAAATAACAGTCATAATTTCCGATGAGTTTAAAAGAGCCAACTCAAAGATTGTGTAACTAATGAAAATACTCACAACGTCCTTACCAGTTCGATATAATCAACATTTCTTGTAAATAGGCTATTTTATCATTTTTCAAAAGCGGATCTTGTTCACTCATAGCCTGGCGTGGTACCACCATTGTTGCCAGTATGTTTTTTTCACATTTCATTTTTTTTTTAATAGCAATACAATTTGTTCACATTACTTAAGGACTACCTGATTTCCTGCATAACCTGTCTGTCAAAATTTATTGTATTTTCTTCAATTGGCATTCTTTTAGTTAGCTGCTGTAATAAATTCAATTATACCACCTGCGAAATTAAGAGTTAAAAGGCCTGATGTTGTTCAGATATTTTTTTTTATTCTAAAAAAAAGAAAACATTCTCTCTATTTCTTCTAGGCTACTTGATGGCGTTCTATGGCTTTTCTATGTTTCCATAGTTTAAAAATCTTGTCTTTCGAGGATTGCTCTAGTGCAAGTGTAAAGAAAATACAGTACTGGGTAAATTCATTTTTCTTATCTGGTGAAATATATTAAATGGTCCAGGCTTTCTCGATTTTGTTTGTTGTAATATGTATGCAAACCCAAATTCAAATTGTAAATATTTAATTTCAATCAAATCAGTAAATGTTTGTACCTGCTTTTCCTTGAGTTGCATAAATAAATATTTACAGAACAATTATATTATCTAGCTGATTATAATGTAAGCAAATATATTCTTCATAAGGATAACATGGGTACACTGGGGCAGAGCCCAAGGGACTTAAAAAAAAAAAATTTAAGGTCAGTTTGCAAATCTACGCGACATGTTCTTTCCAATGATACGTGAATGGTCAAAATCGGATTAGAAATGGCGGAGGAGTTCAAAGGACAAATTTTGTGTGGTATTTACATTTCAACGGTGTAACACCAATTTACAATTGAAAGCAAACTTAGATAGCTAACAAGAGAAGTTGAAAATAACATACAATGCTAATACAAAACGATGACAAATATGGACTGTACAGGAATATTGAAATAAAAACATGCAGTAACAACTTTGCCGCAGTGACAGTACATGCATAACACGATGACAAGATATGTGAGACGGTTTCGCAAAATGATTTATAAGAACAAGGGTGCAAGCTAATAATAAATGCAAAAATGGCAATGTTAACAAAACAATAGTGATGACAGGACTGTATGATCTAGTGCGACAGCAATGTATGTAATAGGCAACAGACTAAACTAAAAAATATCGATGTAAACCCACCCGCTCATATACCTCATCTAACCTCAAAATTATGTGTAATATTTGATTTGCTGAAATCGTACAAAATATTGACAATTCTGTTGCAGTGATTATCAAGCTTGTCACCCTGATGACCATTCACGCATGCAACATGTGGTGGCCGCCGTACAACAGTGTTGGAGGTTTTATCAACAAAGCCGTGTTTTTGTTGTTCAGTGGACTCACACTGTATAACCTCATCACCGCCATCTTTGAGGGGCCGGGATACGTACCCCTCAAGTGGGTTCCGGTTAGTTGCATTTTTAGATCACTTTCTCGTTAGTCATAAAATATGTGCATCATGGTAAAATTCTGTAGTGTAGACTTACTATACTGATGGTTATAGATATTCTAACAACAAACAATAATATAAGTTTTAAACACTCTCACAAAAATGATTTAGACTCTTTCTGAGGGATCAAGAAAGTGTGATCAAAAATACTAGGTATCTAGGTATAAAAAATACCACTTTCTAACTAGAATATAGTTATAAAATCACATTTTTCTAGGAGTCTAATATTTTGTGCTATGCAAGGGTGAAGGAACAGAAATCGGGGAAAACTTAACCGATAAAGTTGTGGATGGTTAAATTAGTGGTTGTTGGGGCTGTCCAATTTATGATATGACCAGCTTTATAGGGCTAAGAGCTTGTTGAAAAAAATGACCCACCATTTTTAGCTGTCTGACAGTTTGAATTTCGGAATAGGATTAATTGAGTCAAAATTGTTACCTTTAGACATTTTTCTAATAATATGGAACCCTGTCAAACATTATTGCCAAATTTGAACCCTCTAACATTTTTGCATGTACTTTACTTTAATACTTTTTATTTTCAATGAAATGGCGACCATACAGAGTAGGTATTTTAAGCCAAGTATGAATGGAGATAAGTGTAGGATGAGTGGCGCGATCTTGTAGTCTTGTTAGTGACTAAGGCCGACATATTCCTTAGACACAGTGTTAATTAATAGACCATACTGCTAATGGCAACTAAGGGGCCTACAGTTTATAGTTTAATCCGAACCAAATTTTTGCCTTTGGTATAGACGAATTGGTCTAATTATCAGGATAGTACAGCAGATAGTCGTAGCTCGTGCGGACGTTAATCCACACCAGGGAGTATTGCATCCACAGTGCATGCCTATTAATATGACCTCCTAGTAGCTGGATTACAGGACGACGCCACCCGTCCGAGTCTAGGACTTTTGTATTAAGAACTGCACAAAATTCATTCACTTACCAAGACATTTCCCTTAAGACTAACATGGGGGGAAATTCAAAATCACTGTGGTGTTTAAATGTGACTTTTTTAATTTTCTGAGGGCATCTAGGCCCCAGACCAACAAATAGCCCAAATTCCAAATCCCAACTCTTTTAGAAGTAGCTTTATCTAGATTTTGTATCCTTGAGTTTATGTTTGGATTATTATTTGTCAACGTTGTATTTAATTTTCAGGAGGATGTGAGGGATGAAGCTTATCTGCAGTTTTGCAAAACTTGCCAAGGCTACAAAGCTCCTCGGGCCCATCACTGTCGGAAATGTGAGTAAAAGTGAAATTGATCAACTGTAAGATGTTCTTAATCATCTAACCTCTTTCACTATTAGTAATAATCAACTCAAACTGCCACGTCGTTTCTGAAACATACGATTAAATGTTACAAATAAGGTTCTAACATTTCTAATATAAATTTTGGTAGGTGAAATATATATACTTTTGTATATTTAGGCCGGCCGCACACCTGATACAGCACGGCACGGCAAGGCAAGGCGAGACGTCTTTGCCTCGCCTTACCGTGCCCTTGAGATGCATACGGCACGGCACGGCAAGGCGACTTGAGCACCCACATGGTCGATCCCATGGTTTCAATAAAGTGAGATACTGTGTGTTATGAGGTTGTTTGTACATTTTGTGACACTTTGTACTACACATTTTGTGAGAATGGATGCAGAAGGCGAAGAAGAGGCTGCTGCCATCGCTGCTATATGGTACCATTGACTGTTGTGTTTATATAGTCAATGATGGTACCTAATGAATGTAATGGATGATCTCCCGAACAGAGAATCGTTGGTGCATCCCATCAACCAAAAAAGGACTTGAAACCATTCATTGCAGAACTAAGAGCAGATCCGGAAAAAATTTATAATTACTAATCGTTGGAAGTGCACACTGATTTTGACAGGGGCTGTCACTGCGCTGAACATGGTGTCGATCCTCGCGCATGCGCATATCGTTTTGCCACAAGCCTTTTGCCCGAAAGACGAAAATTGAAAAGGCAGAACAAAGCGCCGTACGGCGCTGTTTTGCCTTGCCTTGCCGTGCCCAATGATGTGTGCGGCACCCCCATTTGAAATAATAGAAATCTAGTCGCATAAGGCGCCTTAAGGCAAAACGTCGCGCCGTGCCGTGCCGTGCCGCATCAGGTGTGCGCCCGGCCTTACTAATCCTCCTCTCAAACCTCTGTGGGTTGGTAATATTTAGTTTGTGTACACCAATGCATTTTTATATGTAAAGAGATATTGTAGTATCTGACAACATTTGCTTCACTTTTTCAACAACGCAGGAATGAAAGCATTTACATTGAGTATTTAAAACGGAAACTCAATTGAGAGATGTGAGAGGCTGAAATTCTCCAACAACAAAAAATATGAACTTAATTCTAAGTTAAATATATTTTATATATAACTTTTATTAAAATAGTAGCTTTACATCTCAATGCCTGCCTGCCATTCTGAGTTGAATAATAATGATCTTAAATTAATTACTGAGCCAAACCACATCCATATCACAGCCATTTTGATGATCTAATATTTCTAATGCATCTAATTATTAATTTAATAAGTAAAATACCTCCGCCGCAGCAAACCTGCAGACTAAGCGAATTTCAACTTGTCTGATTACATTTTTACTCAAATATTTCCATAAATAAGACATATTTATTCCCTATTTAAATAACATTAAATTTAACAAGTGCTTAGGTTTGCTGCTACGGGGGAGGTAAAAAGTGTTTTTTGACCATACGTGAATAGTATGGGATGAAATAAATAAATTTGCCAAATTTTATCAATATATATCCATAAACAAGTAAACTACAACAATTTTTATTTTCTCCATAAGAATAACATGGGAATTTTAAATTAAACTATTTTTGAATTTTCTCCGTGACCGTTAGGCATACAACAGCGCTTCAATATACTAAATTATTTCTTTTTTTAAGCTCTACAAAACGGTTTAGAAATAAATTGCAAAATTTTTTGTTTTTAGGGTAAAAAATGGGGAAAACACATTTTTACCCCATAAAACCCCCCATAAACCCCTGTTCCCATGGTCCGATTATGCTGGATCGCGAACTCGTTCGAATAAACGTAGGTTTACACATTTGTACCAAATTTCATCAAAATCGGATCAATTTTTGCTCGAGTTATCGCGCTAACGGACACATATATATATATATATAAATATATATATATTTATATATGAATTCGAACGGATGGTGTTTTTGGCCTCTAGGGACCTCAAAATGAAAAAAAAAATCGGTCCCACGTCCAGGTCTTACCATGAGTACTACGGTAATAGCTTATTCCCTATATGGGAAATTCGCTAAAACAATGAAAACTTCCACTCGTACCTTAAGGGTACGAGTTAGCTCAAAAGTATAATTTACATATTAAGCTGAAATAATGTATAGTTCCCTAACCCCTTAATCCCCCCCCCTTCATAAAAAAAATTAGAACATATTTTTAAATTACTTAAACCAAAGACAACTTATCAATTCGGTGACGAAGTCCAGCCTTGACCATGGCGCCTACACCCTCTTGACTATGGAACACGACTGTACTCTGTCTCTGCGCTTCCTACCCCCTCCCCAGTTCTCCAGCAATCAGCTGATCTTTACCGTCTGATGCGTCGCCGCTGTGACGCAAGCGTCACAAACTCTTAAGAAAAATCGTGTTACACATGCTACATATTTTATATATTCAATTATTATTTCAAAATTTAATTTAGCTTTTTGCCAATTTTAAGCTACTTGCAGTATCCATTGTAAAAGAGATCTCTTGTTGTTTGAATACAGACTATTTCAAATATTGACTCTAGCTAGACAATGGAAGCATGAGAGGCATTCTTATGCTTATGAGGCGTTGTTGATGTGAGTGATTGACATTTGAATTTGTTCAACGGTCCATTGATTTCTCCGGATAAGCGAAGCCAAGATTTCCCTGTTGACTTTGTCTCCGTCATTTACAAGATTTTCAAAATTTTGTTTAGTTGATTTATAGTGTTCAAATGTAGAATAAAATTTAAACTGGTACAAGTTTTCTAAGAAAAGTCTTATTTTTTAGGTTTATTACAAAATTCATTACTTCATGATGGGATTATAGCCTACGAATCATCGATAAATTATAAGAAATGGAGTGAAAATTAGCTGCTTATTAGGCATTTCCTACAATTGTGATCAACAAATAGTTTTGGCCCAAGGCATATTCAGACTGTAATTTTTGACATTCTGTTATAGTCATCTTCTGTTGAAGATTTTCATTTTTAGAGATGAAACTGTGTGTTTTTGTACATGCATTTTTGTAGTGATTTGTTTTGCTAACTTCAGCCTATTTTTTCATAATCATGTTTAGACGTTGATTCTCTGTATGCAATTTAGTAATAATAATTCTGTACCTTAAAACATTAAAAAGTGGAAAAGTTATGCCCACAAATAGCCTCCTTAGTATTATTACCTAGTTGGATATGTTCCAAAGTGTTGTACAGCACCATAGACTAACCGACACAAGTAGATTTCTCATCCCATTGTAAATGTTGAAGCTTGTTTTCGGGTTTTTTATTTTAACTAGTGTACATGTTGCTCGAAATCGAGCAATTGCAAAGAAGTACAGGAGTTCTTTGTAAACAAATAACATGTTTAAAAACGAATAACAGTCATAATTCCGATGATTTTCAAAGAGTCAACTAAAAGATTATTAACTAATGGAAATACTCACAATTTACATAACAGTCCTATTCCAGTTTAAAGGGTTAATTATTAACAATCAAACTGTCCATGGACGGGAAAAGGTAAGCTTACAAAGTCAACGTAAAAAGGCTGTCAGCGTTTATAAAGTACCATACCTAGAGCTATTTAGCCAGTTTGTAGACAATAAGGTGTAGGCTACTTTAAACTCTACAGGACAGAGTTAGGCAAAAACTGGCAAAATTCTGAAATGGTTTTATTTATCATAGACTTACTCATATGCCAAATCCTTAAAATAAAAATTCAATAACTAATAACTTATATCATTATACAAACCAATATCCAAAACTATACACATTTTTAATACAACATAATTTACACATTGACGGTTTACAATTAACATGCTCTTCTTCTCACTATTAATTTTTGCTTCACAACGGGAAAAGTCTGTTTAATAATCATTGAAATAGATTTACAATAAATAATCTATCATAAAGTTTAAGATTAAATAAACCTACCACATAGTTGTTTTTTTATCAGCTGTCTGAAATTGTGAAATATGTATTTGACAGTTCTGCTTGCAAATGTAAACATTGTGAATTTTCTCATGCTTCCATGGAGACAGATTTATAATATTTAATTTTTTGACAACAGCTGGAGTTTCAAAACAATGTTTGTTTCCCATGTTAATCTTATGGAGAAATACAAAACTTTAAAGGGCCCCAGGGCCTCACTCTCTAATTATTTCCCTAAAAAGAAAGTTTCCTGCACAACTTCACGTTATGCTCTTTCCAATGACACCAAAAACTTGTCAATTGGTTCAGTAGTTTCGGAGGAGTAATTGTCACAAAAATCCTGCTTGCGTATTAAATAAGTACTAGTGGTCGTCCTGTGGTCGAAACTCGACCAAAAATAATTAATGTACAGACTTCTCTATTTTCTCCCCACACTGTAAATAAAACATGTGATTGGGATTTCTTCCATTTGTTTTGATTTTCTGTTTAAATTTTGTTGTTATTTCGTCACCATCATAGCAACCCAGTTGGTCCATGTTAATTTTTTGAAGTTTTCAAATTTGTTTTTTGTGCTTATTTTTTAGCCTATTTTAATTTATAAAGGGATTCTGCACATCTACAGGCAAATATCTTTCTAACAGTATGCGTAGATTTCCCCTGCGATGCACACGAGCTGAGAAAAAAGGTTTTAAAGAAACATGCTTGCCTATTAATATATAGATAGATAGATTTTTAATTTTTTGTGTCTAGTTCATGGTGATACTGATCGCTAGTGTAAACAAAATTTGGTTTCCATTTAGGGTTAATTTCATTATTTTTGCTTTACTGTGTGGTTATATTAGGGTAGTTTTTGTTTGTGATTAGATTGTTTTATTTGATCAAACGAGGTATTACATTTCTGAAATAACGAGAAACAACTTGTAAACAAAACACAACCTCTACAGTGTACTGGGCAGAACTATTGAGAAAAATGGGCTTCAGCTGTTCCATAAGGATAAGAAATTACTGAGGGAGTTAGTAGATTTCTTTTTGTTGTTGGTTAGTCTATGTTTTTATCTATGACCGTACTTACTTACTCTCCAGAAGCAACGATTGTTGTTACTCTGTTGTAAGGTGGCAGGTGTGTTATGAAGATGGACCACCATTGTCCTTGGATCAACAACTGTGTAGGTCATCAGAATCATCTTCACTTTACAAGTTTCCTACTGTGCGCTGTCATTGGCTGTGCTCAGTCTACAGTCATTCTCAGCTGTACTCTCTACAGGGGCTTCTATAGAGTAAGCCTATATTTTAAAATGTTTATATAAGTGCAATAGGTATTTTTTATATTTTATTTATACCAAAGCCTGGTCCTTTTCCTACCTAATGTCGACTTTTGTAAGATTGCATCATTAATAAAACTCGTTTGGACTCAAACCAGCGACTTTCACATTTGGGAGCACTTAACCCAGCACTAGGCGGTCCAGAAAATGTTTTGATGTTCATAAAATGGCTGTACAGTCACTTCTTGTTTTCACAAGTGAAATTATAAATCACATTCTGATTTTTTATTTAGAGTCAGTCTTTGTAAACCATTTGGGTTGTAGGATTCGTAGTAAAATTTTAGTAATTGGCAAGATTTAATATTAACGCTTACGAAGTTCTAACTAATCCCATCATATGTTCGTGTCTAATACAGAATACAGCCTACACTTAATAGATAACCACATACTAATAATTTTCGGTAAATTTTACTATAAAACTTCCTAGTACCTACATAAGTCTTTTTAAATTTCAACATTGATGATCTGTTACAGATGTGGTACCTGTACCATGGCATCGAACCCCTTGTGACATTCAACATATACAGTTTAGTGTTTACTGTGTTTGCCCTCGGACTGTCAATAGGAGTTGTTCTTGCTGTCGGGATGCTGTTTTATTTCCAGGTAGACGGATTATACATTTTATTGGTTTCTCAGAAAAATATAATTTGCAATATACATTTGAAAGCCTAAACAGAGATTCAACGTATGTAATGTATCTAATGTATAATAAATGCACTAGACTTTTATTCAAAGTTAATAATTCAAATTTTTCTGTAGAGCATTTAAAACACTAAAATAAAACAAGGTGTTGCTCATTTAAGGTGCATACAAACCATGATTATAAAAAGGTTTTCAACAAAGCGATGAATTTCAAATATATGCACACCTGACACTAAATCTCTTGCTTTCGTTAATTCTTAATTTTACTGACATAAAATGGTGAATATATTTCAGATGCGAGCCATACTTCGCAACCGAACCGGAATCGAAGACTGGATCGTGGAAAAAGCAATACATCGAAGAAGGCCAGACGATTCATCATTTGTCTACCCATATGATTTGGGGTGGAAGAAAAATTTCACTCAGGTAAATTGGAAAAAATATTAGAGGTGTGCGGATATCCGAAAAATCGGGTTGGATTTGGTTCCGACTACTATATCAAACATACACATTTTTTGACACACAAATATACACAAACACAAACATTTTTTGAGAGTTTGGTGTATTTTTCTTAATCAATTTATATATTTGGTTGAGGTGTATGTACTTACGACTAATTCAAACTGTCCATCTAATCAAACTGCAAATATATATAAATACACAGGCCACAAAACATGTAACATGTAACGTTAACAATGTAAAGCTTTGAAAACTCACTATGGTTTGCTAAAAAAAACTTTCACTTGATGTGGTGCAGTACCGAAGTTATTAACCTCCTTTGGTTTAAATTTTTTTTTTAGTTTTCGAAAATCAAATTTATTTCCCATTAACAGTATTATTTGTAAGCAGCTTTTAATGTTAACATATTAATGACAGTTTGAAGAAACCACCTTTATCCAAACAAAGGTTTCTTATTTAAAAGATAACGTAATCTCTAAACAATAATCGGTACATATATCTAGCAAACATTCGAAAGAAATGTGACAAAAAACGCACAAATTTGGGGTTTTGTACGTTTGTAGTTTTATTTCCTAAGTAGGAAAAGTACCGATATCGTTGTCAAAATGTAAGTAAGTAGAAACCAAAAGTGACACATTGGATAAGCGAGTTTAGCTACATCTGTTAAGTTAAACCTCTGTTACAAAATCAGCAAAATCAGAAACATCTTCCAAGATCGCAGCAACATCCACGATCACCCACTGCAGTTGTGATTTTTTACTTTGCACTTAAACACAACTGTCCTTAATGCACCGTAATGAGTGGAAACCTTTGTAAGCTACGGTATTGGTGACGATGATTAAAAAAATGTAAGTTTCCTTGCACTAATACAACACTGATTCACGGTATGTTCCCCGGTTATCAAAACTCAAGAACAATCGTTTCACTTGCGATTAATTAAACCAGTTAAGTAAGGCACAAATTTTTAATCTCACTTGGTTTGGATGTGCTGACAAAACTTGATCGGAAATGGTTGCGGTATTTGTAAACAACTTTGAATGTAAACATATCAGTAACAGCTAGAAGTGAGAACTAATCCAAACAGCTGATCGTAATTTCATAAAATGTAATAGTAAACATTGGGAGAAATTTGACAAAAATCGAACAAAATTGGGTTTTTGGTGGTTTGTTATTTTGTTTTCAAAGAAGCGAGGCCATGTTTTTATAGCCAAAGACACTCTCACCAATCCAGTAAATACAGAAAAATGATTAGAACCTTGATCGGTACTCTAGTTTTCTAGGAGTAGGCCGCGTAAAATGACATTTTGGCGTTACAGGCGGAGTCACAGAATGGACAAACAGACAGACATACAGACAGAAATTGAGATAAGACTCGTTTCGGCTTTCTTAGGCTATAAAACGTAAAAATAACCAAAAACTGCATGATTCTAAGCAATTTAGAGACAAAACTGTAATTTTATTTATATAGATATTTAGAGGAAATAGTGAAAATAATAATTATTAATAGTTGCTAGCAGTGCTAATAAAACAAGTCTAGTGCAATGAATATGGATACAGCTTGTGTATTAATTATACATTTTATGTTTTTCTCCACACAACAATGTTTTAGCCGTTTTACAAGCGTTAATTGGAGGCTGAAAGCTACAAATTACTGTCCATGCCAGCTGTCACTGTCATTTGGGGACCGAGCAGGTTTTTGCAGCCCTTGGGCCAAAAATCAGCTGTTCGCTTGTATTTGAAGAACTTTTAATGGTCTAAAACTAAACCCAGCTGTCTTAGAACATGGGACTTTTAATAAATGATATCACTAGTTAACATGCATTCTTCACATTTTGTGTGTTGTCCTTGTAGTAAACCGTAATATTACTATTTTCCCTATGCTACCCCCTTTACATTTTCATCCCTCCACAATATTTCATCTTCCGAAATAGTATTACATAGGAAAAATAAATAGGTTTACGTACCTTACGTCGTCAATCATTTGTAGTCTCGGGCGACTAGTTTCAAAACAGTTGTTTCATTTTCAAGCCCATTTCGTCATACATAAATTAAAAGATTACAATGTCGTCGTCAATATTTACAAATTTAACATTTAACACAAACGAAGAACACGGGTACAGTAGAACCTTGATAACAAGACTCTCATAGGGATTATAAAATAAGACTTGTTATCAAGGTTGAGTTCTTATCAAGGTTTGCAATAACATGTGATTTGGGGTAAAATCATTTAAGGGTATTTGAAAATGACCCTTGTCATTAAGGGTGACTTGTTATCGAGGGTCCTGTTATCAAGGTTCTACTGTATATTTGATGAACAAAGCTACAAAACAATATCACAACCACATTTTAAATGAAAAACTCAATTTTGGATTAATATATTTGACAGGAATGAGGACATTAATAACAAAAGCACTCATCATCAGCTGTTTCACCCCCTCCAAGGTCAATGTCTCCAGACGGGCGTCGGGTAGTTAAGTCGTTTCCGTCGACTTGCGTGCGTGTTATGGCCGGCCACGCATTATTCTATTTTAATCAAATATATGCGTGTTCTTTGTGTGTGTTAAATGTTAAATCTGTAAATATTGACGGGGACATTGTGTTCTATTAATTTATGTATGATGAAATGGGCTTGAAAATGAAACAACTGTTTCGAAACTAGTCGCCCGAGACTACAAAGGATTGACGACGTAAGGTATGTAAACATAAACCTATTTATTTTGTAACAAATCAATCCTGGAGGCAGTACTGAATAAAGTATCACACTGTAGTATGTGTAGATGTGGTGTAATAGGTGGCGTCTCCATCTCAATGATTGATAATTGATGTGGTTTTATATATTTCAGTGAAATTGGTTGAAATGGAAATAACCAATTTTCAGTGTTTTCCCATTTATGTTGTTTAGGTGTTCAGCTGGGGTGGTGTCAACAGAGGGGATGGAATAACATGGCCTGTTGTAGAGGGATGTCATCAGTACTCACTTACTGTAAGTTACCTACCTCTTACCAAGGGACTTGGTAGTTACCTTACACAATTTTTTTAACCCTACATCTAGCGGCGTCGGCTGCTAGCCCGTGATGTGTGGGATGGCAGTGGTTATGGCCAACGTTTGTAGTGGTCTAATAAAACTGTCAATAACTATACTTTCATGAATGGAACATGCATAAAAGTTTATATATTCTGAATCAGCATTGAACAGCTCAGGGAACATTTTACATATAACTGTGTATTTTTGCAAGAATTTTTAGTTACAAAAAAAAAAACACAAAAGATTTTAGTTTGAAAAATGGAAATTTAAAATTTGATCTAAGATGAAATGTTTGTACAATTTTCTTTCCTAATAAAGATATATTTGAAAAACAATTACAATTAACAATTAAAGTAATAGAGTATTTGTTCTTGTATGGTGTTTTTCTTAAGGGGATAGTAGCTCAAAAATTCGGTTTTTATGTGTTCAATCCAAAGCAACTGGACTTTGACTTTCTCTTCGAATACAATAGAAGCTAGCCAAAAAAACTAACAAATGTTGCTATTCGTTACAATTTCTATTTGTTATTCCCAAGTATGCCTACACATTACAAAATCCTTAACTGAACAAAATATATTATATGCAATACTCCAAAAAGCTATAAAATTGTCTCATTGAAATTACTACTAAAATAATGGATAACTGTTATTTACTCAAAATTATATTTAAAATGTTTTTACGTGTGTTTCTTTTTACAGATAGAGCAAAAAGAACAAAAAGGAGAAAAAAGACAGAGAACTAGGGCATATAGCGTGGTTTACAGGTATTTCCCTATTTTGTCTCCTTTTTTAGATCTATTTTATTTTCAAAACGGTTTTGATGCACTTAAAATTTTACTGAAGTAGATAGCATGGTCATAAATTTTAACATGAAAGCGAATTTTAAGATTTCAGTAATTGTGTGTAAATAAAAAAAAACTAAGAGAACTAGAATTTGCCTTGGGCAACTGGTTTATCAAGTAAATTACACCCAAGTTATACTTTAACTTTTCAATACTAGTAGGTACACAGCTGTGTATTTTCATTGAAAGACAATCTTTTAAAAGACTTTTTGAACTCCTATTAAAAAAGACTCCCTTTTTAAAAGACCCTTTTGAAAGACCTATTACATAAGTTTTAACAAATTTAATATCAAATTCAACAGAGTTTTGTATTACTATTACTAAAACAGCATTTTTGTTGTGTATATCTTTGTCTGTGGTTTATACATTTTTTTTAAGGAATCACACTGTTCTTACTAAAAACAAATCTTTAAAAAGAGCAAAAACAACACCGTTAATGAATGGATGCTTGTCTATAAGCTGTTGGCAATTATTCCTAATTTACTGGTTCCATAAAAAAAAGTACACAATTCATTGTTTTCGTATTTCCAGGTCATCTGGACATCATGGTTAGTATTTCCAAAAAAATTCACTTGTTTTTAATTATTTACCTTTTCTCCCCAACAGGTGGTTCGGATTAGTGCAAATGTGTTAATTGGCATATTTGTAATATTGAATGCAAATGTGCAAATGTGTTAATTGGCATATTTGTAATATTGAATGAGCTACCTAAACAAAGGATGAAAAAATTATCTTGCTCTAAGCAGGTTCTAATATTTTAATAACCAAGAAAGCCAACATTGACCAATCCAGATAATTATTTCCTATGAAGACTCTGGTGTTTGTACGCAGGTATAGTGGGAGATGGTTGCCTGTAGTCCATGGCTGGAGGACATGCTGTAACATTCCATTCACTGATGAGGCCAGAATAACCTTGGAGCCAGGGGACTCTGTATTGGTGACTAGGTGGCGACGGTGAGTCTTGCGTTGAAAATAATCGTCCACATAATGCTTTGTCTTTTGGAAGGAAAAGAATTTGGCTATGGGGTACATTGTAGGAGAAGGAACAGATCGGATGATTCACTTAAGAGGTTACAATAAAAAAAAGTTAAATAATACAATTTGTAGTTTGTTATTTAGTATATTTTATTTTTACTCTCTCTACAAAATATAAACTGGCATTAACGGTGAAAAGTGATATCTGTCAGAAGACTGCAATGTAAAGTACAGGCTTCATCCATTCACATAAAATTGTCCATCATTTTTGTTCTATTGATGAAAAATTTCATAAGTCTACAAATCTCATCATTCAGCTCTATTGAGTTAGACTAGCTTGTGTAAACCTTTTGTTTTAAGTAACCCCCAAAGAAAATTATTCTGTGGTGTGAGATCACATGCTCTTGCTAGCCAATATTGATCACTGAAATGATAGATTGCACAACAGGGAAACTTTGTATGGAATCATTTATCATTAGGCTGATCCTTTTACAGGGTGTCCACCGACTGGGAAAACCGGGAATGATGTGTGAATTTAGTATTTTACAGGGAATTTTCAATTTGCCACGATCGCGCATGAAGATGACGTTTCCGTGACCGCGGAAGACGACGATGACGTTTTTGTGACCGCGGAAGACGACGATGACGTTTTTGTGACCGCGGGAGACGACAATGATGAGAAGAACAATGTCATATCTCTGTGAAGGATCAGTCCTTAAAATGATATAATCATGCTCATATTGAATCACATATTAACTATGGAATTAGTATTTATGGTGGGACAAAGAAAAAGAATTTAAAAAGGATTTTTAAAATAAAAAAAAAAACAATCAGGATAATACATAAATTAAAATATAACCAGTCCGCCAAATCTTATTTTAAAGGGATGGGCATTTTTACAGTTCACGTATTATATATTTTTGAAACAATTAAATATTTTTTAAATATTGCTGAGGCTCAAGAATTGCCTGTGTATAACTATAATACAAGGGGTAAAAATTATTTAGCTAAAGAAAAACCAAGACTTGAACTTTTTAAAAATAAACCTTCTTATATTGGAAACTAGTTTTTTAGAAAACTTCCTAGCTTTTTAAAAAACGAAAAAGACAAATCTAAATTTATGAAAAAACTGAAGGCATTCTTACTTGACCTTGCACCTTACAAAATAGAAGATTATAGTAATTTCAATTTTAAATTATAGCCTATAGTATTTTGTTTAAATGTTTCTTATTGCTAATTTAGGTAGTAAGTAACAATAGACACTATTCATGTACGAAAATTTGTACTGTGTGAATAAAGACTCTTTAAATCTTGAATCTTGATGTTTCCGTACCCGCGGGAGATGACGATGACGTTTCCGTGACCGGGAATTATGCGTGAATTTAGTATTTTACAGGGAATTTTCAATTTGCCACGATCGCGCATGAAGATGACGTTTCGGTGACCTCGGAAGATGACGATGACGTTTCCGTGACCACGGGTGACGACGATGACGTTTTTGTGACCGCGGGTGACGACGATGACTTTTGCGTGACCACAGAGGAGGATTATAATCTTTCCGTTACCGCTGAAAAATATCAGAATTTTGTCACGACCACGAAAGACAGTGGTGATGTTTCTGTTACTGAGTGAGATTTTCAGCATTTTTCAGTTATTGCAGAAATCTATGATGGTGTTTCTACAACAGTGTTAGATGATCACAATATATCCTTGAGTTTGGTTTGACAAAAAATTTGAAAATTGCACACTTCTAGAAAGTTTTATTTTTTATATTATCTTCATTTACCTTTAACGTGGTATTTATTTAATGTGTTTGGAAGGGTTTAGAATTTAAATTGGCTACGTGAAACTTTTGTAATTTCTGCATTAATTATTTCTGTAGGTCACTTGAGAAACAACATATAACTAAAAAATTACATACTATATGAAGTACATAAAGACAGGGGTTGGTGTAGTAATCATTTCAGAAAATTTTGTAAAATTGAAATGATCAGTATTAAGAATCTATTTTTCAGGTGTAAGTACAACAATTAAAAAATTGTAGTATCGACATATCACTATTTTTTTAAAAGTTATTAATCAAATTCGGGTTTAAGGATTAGTTTTTAATTTTCGGATTATTTAATCAGTAGTATATAAAAATGTAATACTTGTGTCAGGCAATATTACAGTAATCAAAAATTTTGTTTCTTTAACTGAGAATGCTCTTTTCGATAACTAAAATAGCGAGCTGTGTTAGAGCTAAAACAGCATCGCGAGAGTTGGCGCAAAACACGTTGGAAAATTTACTATGAAAAGTACGAACTGAACTACCTGGATTTTTTTTTACTCATGAATTACTCATGATTTTTTCTGGTTGGCCTGGTGGACACTCAGAAGTTAGTTACTTTTTTTCCTCTACTAATGTTATATTTTTCTTTCACAGGTACTGGTTGTTTGGTGAGAGATCATCATCAGATGGGTCCAAGGCTAGGGGTTGGTTTCCAAGATGCTGCGTGGTCGAGATTTCCGCCTGTCCCGACAATGCAGATTTTCCACAAAACGCCAGCACCAAGAAAACGCAATAGAATATTCCTCTATGGACTGGTTTTTATGTACCTGATGTGAAAACTGTCGAGTGTTCGTATGTTTGTGTAAGGAAGTACTTATTTAGCAGTTGCTTGATTGTAGATTGTAAGTAATTTTTGGCAATTATGTAACTCAGTACCGTAGAGTCTCCATTGTCCAACATAAATCGGCTGCTACAAGGATAAGGGGGTAACACAAGAAATTACCAAAACAATTGTAAACATGTTTAAAGTTAATTTTATACGTTTAAATATGTATGTACAATCTAATAAGTATTTTAAACTATTTTATTAATTTTGAAGCTACCTTCACGATTAAAGTATAGGACTGGAAAGTACAGTTTTTTTATAGCTGTCTAATGTCTGGCACATATTTTCCAAGTACAGAGCTGGCAAAAGGAGTTATTCCAACGCAGCTGCTGTAATGTACAGCCAAATGGAAATAGTACAATATTTTACAGTAAACGTTCATCCACTGGCAGATTCATATAGGGCTAAATGATAAATGGATTATCGAGACTCTACTGTCTTGAATAATTAGTTACCAAAGAAAAGAATTGTGTTAGTTTGGTTGACCATGTTTACTTCTCAACTGATTCCATTTTAGAAATCATCTCAAGCATAAATACATAGAATATTTGGCTATTATTTTTTATCACAGATTATGTCAGGCAAAGCTTACTTTTATTTAGTACTTTATACAAACTATATGTTTTGTAGGCTACATATTATCGTATTATCATTACATTGAAATAGAGACCCAATGCTGTGTATTTTACTATTTTAACTGTGTGTCTTAAGTGAAGGATGAGGTGAGATTTATCGAGCACTTTTAATTGGTCGAGAATATGTATAGACCACTTTCACTTGTATTTTAAACGTTACTTTTTGCTACACTACAAAGACTATTTTCTTAACTAAAACAATATTTCTTTATTGCAGAAAAGAACATTACGATACCCATAGAATTTTTTAGGTTATGCCTTCAATTTAATGTTAATATTTAAATTGGTTGTACAGTTTCGATAGTTGCAAATTGAAACAGTTGACAAAATAATAGCAAATCTTTGTTTACGTCGGCAAAATCCCCAAAAAAATGTTATCATTGCTTTCAAATAGTAAATATTATTTTTCCGTTGTAAAGAATGTAATGATGAATTTTCGCGGGTGATAAACATGTAACGATAACAGCTAGTACACAGTAGTGTAGTGAAAAAGATTTTTTTTTATGACCTCTTTTGGGTCACTTGCTATCAGTATTTCTATACGCAAGATCATTATCCGGAGAACAGGATTTTTAGACTATGTGCAGGATTAAAACAGGATGCATGATATAACAGGCTTTTTGGCTGTGACATCAGTTTTCTTTGGTATAATGCTTTCCAAATAAAAACCGGCCACCATTGATAGACTTATCTTAGAATAGTATCATTGTAAGGTTTAAACATGCTATGTAAAAAATCACTCAGGATATATGTCGATTTTTACAGTATTCATGTGGGATACAACATGATATTTCATTTTGTTAAGGCAGGATAAAACAGGATTTTCTTGAGCTAGTAAGCAAGCATATATTAAGCATACTCCCTTAGTAGATTTATCATCCTTATAGATCAGCTGAAAACAATTCATTTGTATGTTGGTTCCTCTCGATGCCTCTAGGGGCGTGTTTTTGTTTACAATTTCACTCTTGGTATTTCAGTCCAAACTGTCGTTTAACCAAAAAAATATACACTCATTAACAATCCCTCCTCCTCTGGTTGTACGACCAAAAAATAAAGTACGTAAAATTAACCCTAAAAATAGTAGAAACCAAATTTTTTGTCACTAGCGCCCAGTGTCACCAACATTAACTAGACATGAAAAAAAAGCTTCAGATTTTACAATGGGATGAGAAGTTCATTTTTGTTGGTTGGTCTCTGGCGGGATTTTGGTTTTGGTCTTGTGGAATCGCTGCTTTAGTCCCATCTTGTGGTATTATAGTTAAATCTTGCAAATCTGAAATGTGAGGTGCAACTCACCCACCTCGTCAACAACCCCGGGTCGTCCCGGAGCTTTCCTTCACTGCTAACTCTGCCTCAAGTGAACTGACTCAGATTGGATTCAAACCCTCAATCTCTGTTGTCTGCTGGTCGGGAGAATGCCTTAGATCACCTTGGCCATTGATAACATCTAACAAATGACACTTGTAAACCAGAAGCCTAAGCATAGTAGTTTTACACTCAGCTCCCAGGTTGCAACATATTTCATGTAGCTTTCAGTATTTTTCGTTGAGATATACTGCATAGATAGTTGTAAGTGGAAGTTTAAATATGTTAACATCTCGTTTTTTCAAAAAAATAACTAAACTTATCATCTCAGCTTTAGACTTACAATATAACTTCAACTAACCAAGTCTCTTACAGAAATAATTTTAAAAACGTAAAACTATGATAAGAATCGTTTTTAAAGAAGGCAAAAGCCGTGATTGCAGAAAAATCATAACATCTCCTTGTAGACATCATCCTCGTCACCTGCAGTCACATAAAATCATCATCGTTCTCCTCTATGGCGGCTAAAGCAAGAGTTGATTAATTGATTGAGTCGAAACGAACCTTGTCCTAGTAACGTCAACCGCAGGTAGGCTTTTTGTGCTCCCCGATTGGTACGTCAGACCTGAGTTGCTTGATGAAATGCAGCATCCTATCTATGAGCTCCTCCTGAGGAAGGTGTCTGCTCCTTATCATTGTTTCAGGATTGCTTTCCCTTACTTCATTCAGAGCTGTACAGTCATAGAGTAAATGGTCTGCAGTCTCCTAAGACTGCTTACATTTCCTTCATGCAGTATCTCTTTTGTAGATCCTCAAGCGATGCAGTTTCAGGAAGCCAGGGCCTGTGACCATTCCTGTGACCTGGCAACTGAGCCTCCTTTCTAATCGTAGAAGGGGAAGAGTAAGAGAGAATGAGCTTGCTTACCCTATGTCGTTGAAGCCTAACCGATCTTATTCTGTGTTCCTCCTGATCCCATTATATGACTGAGGACTATTTTCTATAAAATACCCTAAATTTCAGTAAAAATACAAATCATCCAAATTTTGTATTGTCTAAATGAGATGCAATCTCACTTTATTTGGTTAATTGGAGTTCTACTATATTTATTACCTTGCACAACAACATTCATGGCTGAAATGAAGTGGTAGTAGATATATACGTATTGAAAGTATGTTACAATTCAATCATTGGTTCCTCATTAATATTAATTTGATTAGTTTTTATAATTGATACTTAATTCATTCTGTTCACTAACTCCAAACGCTGAGAAAAGTTGTTTAAGTAGTTATTTGAAAAATGTATTTAGGGTGAATTTTATTGGTGCTAAAACAGCTCAATTGTCCGCTATCTTGACGTCCCAGTCAAACTTATGATAGATTGCCGAATATAGTACCATTACCAACAATTATTGTATTATGTAAATATTAAAGTTTATGACAATTTTCATTAAATTAATTAATTATTTTATCCTACTATATTTGGTTTTCTTATATTTCGACTGAATTTACTGAATCTGGCCAATTTGAATCATAAAAATCATAGTAAAACTTGACAATTGTATTTTATAATTTATTTTTTCCTACTCACAAAGATAGGGGTTTTTAATCCTACCATGATTCATTCTTTGTTCATATAAATTATTTATTTATTACTGTTTTAATTCTGAGGAAACAATATTTAATGGTAACAATAACTGAATTCAAAATTGAGGTTATAAAAACAAAAGTGGAATATAAAAACCCAACTATTGAGTTGTCCGAGACTACAATAATTATGAATTTGAATGATTAATTAATATAATTTTCTTCAGTTTAAGAAGTGCCAAATAATCAATATCTCTCTAAAAAAAATGTTTCTTATTGATTTTTGAAGAATTTTCATCTGAAATGTTCATGTACATTTGTAATGGTGAAGTAAAAGTTTAGAAAGGCTAAAATTATAACAAGTCATGATTAATAACCATATAATTTTGTGGTTGTGTTTAAAGAAATAAAATACGATATCAATAGGCCTATCGTATATCACCTAAATCTGCCATAGAAGAATTGTTTATTTCTTACAACTTCTATAAACTGTATACTTATGTTGCTTTTGTAAGTCGCTGTGGTCATTATGTACTGCTTGTTTATAAGGACTTAATTCAATTTTGAATGCCAATTACATTATGTTCTTTGTATATGATATTTATTATAATCTTTGATGTGTTTAACTTATTTATAAATAGGCTTATATAATTTTATTGTTGAACCTAATGTATTTTTGTACACAAATAAACCATTTCAAAGTTAGTTCAGATTCATTTTACTTTGACCTCTCAGTTGTATCATATACAGACTGTCCCAAAAGTCCCGGACCGGTTTAATATTTCCTAAACGACAACAGATAAATCAATAAAATTTTGCACATTAACACCATACTAAAAAATCTACTTTTTTAAGGAACTATCAGTTTTCTGTCATATCATGGGGACGTCCCACGAGGAGTCAGAAGGAAATCTTAAGTAGGAGCATAGGTCAATATGCACATCAGTTTAAAGGGCTTAGCTAGCAGAGTTCAATGCTGGAAACCGCGCCTCGAAAGGATCACCCGTTACAAAATGGCGGCCGTTCAAAGATTTCTTGAACCTGCCATTTTGAATCTTTGAACGACTGCCATTTTTTACTCAGGCGTTCTTTTGAGCTTGAATTTACGGCATTGTAATCTACTAGTGAAGACCTTTAATTTGATGTGCATATCGACCTATGCTTACGCTAACAAAAATGTTCTGACTCCTAGGGCTCTGCCCCCAAATGCAAATTAAATGAATCTTTGAACCACTGTTACTCTTGACTTGGTTGTCCGTTTGAGTTTAAATTTGCAGCATTATATTCTGCTAGTAAAGACCTTTAATCTGATGTACATGTCAACCTATGCTTCTATTTAAGATTTCCTTCTGACTCCTTGCGGGACGTCCCCATGATGTGACAGAAAATTTATATTTCCATAAAAAAGTAGATTTTTAGATGTGATGTTGATGTACCAAATCTTGTTGATTTATCTGTTGTCGTTTAGAAAATATTAAACCGGTCCGGGACTTTTGGGACAGTCTGTATATTAATATGCAGAATCCCTTTATAAATTAAAATAGACTCAAAAATAAGCACAAAAATGAATTTAAACTTAAAAATAACGAACATGGGCTTATGGGTTGCCATGCTGGTGACAAAATAACAACAAAATATAATAAAAAATCGAATTAAAATGACTATAAGGATTAATCATAACATTCAACAGTAATTTAGATTTTAAACAGAAACACAAACAAAAATAAACAAAAGAATTTTTCATGAAAACTGGGTGAATTCTCTAATATTCAAATAAATAAAGATTTTTCAACATGACCTTCAACAATTTATAATTTTACCGCTTTAAGACTTTATGGCAGATTATTGAATAGTGTTGGCACCAAATAACTCCTTGTTCGTTTGGCATACTTGTTTCTTATACTAGAAACAATATAAAATTCCTTCCTGGAGTTATTTCTATGGACTTTTTCTTTTTGTTTCAAACATATCTGAGAAGTAATAATCAATAAAGTATAGTAATAACAATAACATAATAAAGAATAGTTATAATAATAATAATCAATAATCTGTCTCTGTACAATCTATTTAGAGGGCCCCTAATCAAAACTTGTACTGTATATACCCAGAACAAAAATTTATTAGTGAACTTTTAATATAGTAGATAAATATAAATCTATAATTAATCAGGTATACACAACTTCCCGTAACACAATGTTGCAGGAAGAAATATTCAGTCAACCACAGTTTGAATGAATAGATAAAACAAAAATGAAAAATAGATAGCAAACAAAACAAGCTACATTTGAAGCTGGCACGAGGCAGGCCCAGTGCTTTCTAATTGGTTAATAGTCAACTTCCCTACCATTCCAACACTGTCAATGGTCCTATACACTTCACTCATTCTCTGTCATTCATATTGAAATGTCCCTATTGGTTACAGCCTATAATTGGTGAATGATTTTTGTGATAGAAAAGTTGTGCCCTGTTTTGCATACTCTCAGTGTATTGAGAAATGTTTTGTATGTGAAAAAGGATTAAAAATAAGGTAAGCGTATTCAATTTGGATTAGTTGTAAATTTTGTTTTGGTTTTATACTTGTTTGTTGAATATACATTAAATAATTCTATTGCTTATTTTATGTGTTCAGAAAACAAAATTTGTATGTCACTATTGGGAAGATTGATCAAAATTAGGTATTTGATTGATAATAATACAAATACCCACCCCGCAGCAAGACTGCAGACTAAGAAAATTACCATTTCCTGACTGGATTTCTACTAAAATATTCCCTTGAAATTTTCTCAGATTGATTTCCTATTTAAATAACGTTAATTTTAATGTGTAATTAGGTTTGCTGCTACAGGGAAGGTATTGAGGTTTTTTTTTATTGAAATGTTGATAGCTTAGTATGAAATAAACAAAATGGCCTAACTTGATTAAATTCTAAACATAAACAACAACAGTTCATTTATTCTTCATAAGAATAACATTGGAATTTTAAATTTACAATTTTTGAATTATCTCCGTAACCGTTAGGCATACACAACGCTTCAACATACAGAATTATTTCTTTTTTTAAGCTCTACAAAATGGTTTGGAAAGAAATTGTGAAATTTTGCGTTTTTAGGGAATTGGAAAAACAAATTTTCACCTCATAAAACTCCCCATAAACCTCCGTTCCCATAGTCCGATCATGCTGGTTCGCGAACTCATTCAAATAAACGTATGTTTACAGGTTTGTACCAAATTCAATCAAAATCGGATCATTTTTGCTTGAGATATCGCACTAACGGACACATATATATATGAATTTGAACGGAGGGTGTTTTGGCCTCTGGGGGCCTCAAAACGAAAAAGTAAATTTGTCCCGGGTCTAGGTCTTACCATGAGACCTACGGTAATAGCTTATTCTCTATATGGGAAAATCGCTTAGATAAAAAACCATGTATAATTAATTGTTTGTGAAGTGAGCAAAAAATCTTACTTTACATATTTAAAAAAATATATATTGAAAACAAAAACAACATCACCATCAGTGACTCATGGAGCCAGGCTCCGTGCTACATGACTCTCCGGGTTTCAACTGATTAGGGTATTTGAGGGGTAGATGTGATATGAAAAAAATTATGTCCAATTGGTTCCTAGAAAGATGCACGTGAGGGACTTCTCTAGAAGGTACTGGTGATATCACAGTCATATTTTTCTATAAAAACTAATACACCTGGGGGCTCTGTGGTGTCACCAATGGAGGGTTAAATAATGTAATATATAATTTTTTAAACCATATTTTTATTTGAATCATTAGAGCAGTTATGTAGGGAGGATTGTATGATGGGGAGTGTAAATCTCTGATATCTTAAGTTCAAACCAAAATGTTTTGTCCAGTGTTGTATGTCTACAAATTCTACAACATATAAATAATATACTGTACTAATTGAACAAAACTAATAATTTCATTTGATTACTTCTTCATTATCTGTTTCAAGAAGACATGTTTGTAGACTTAACAGTAGCTACAAACATGAGACAAACAAAACAAGTGGAACAAAGCCAATTTTATCAAACAATTCTGTGATTTTGTTGGGTTGGTTTTTCCCATGATAACAATGTTGTTTTTCAGCACTTGGTCTTTAATTTCCAGAATGAACATTTCTGTCCCTAAAGTAAAGACTTGCTGTTTTTTCTGCTCTTTACGAAATGGAACAAAATTCTTTGGGTGGTTTTACCTCGTAAGTATTTATATGTTATGTTTTATGTTAATATGTTATATATGTTATGTCCTGAGTTGTATATGTTTAGCTTTGTGCAAATCTTTAAATAGTCATGTTGTTATGTCTAACAAAGTTACATAAAAAAATAAAAAAAGATAAATAAAAAAAAAACATGTCATAAGGTATCCATCCACAAAACATATTTATAAAAATCTTCAGTGACTGGCTCTTGAGAAATCCTTTTTACAGTATTAAGGGCGGGTTTCCGAGCTCGGGAATACGTAATCCTGGAGTTACTTAATCAGTGAATAAAGTTAGTCATCGAATAAAAAATCGGGTTTCAGAGCTAGCGAACTAACTCCCTAGTCCGCGGACTAGTCTATTCGGAGACTAACTTTATTCGTCAACTTCTGGACTACTTATTCTAGGACTAAGGCAGGAATCACGGGGAATTTTAGTTTTTGAGTATTGGTAGTGGCAGCGGACAGACGAATTTGAGACGATACCTGCCAAAGTTGTTCACGGACTGCGCTCATAGCGACACTAGCGTCTACTGTCTAGTCTGGTTCTAATCACTTATCAGTTGGGATAATGATTCCTTGAGTTTCACTGAAGATGGTAACTAAAAGAAGAGATCGTGTTCAAAAACGAATGCCGAAATAAAAACCCTGTTATGGGAACCATCATAAAAAAAAATAAATAAATAAACTGAAGGTTTATTTATTGCTGCTAAAATTGATAAAAAAAAAACTTCCCGATTGAAGAATAAGGTGTCAAATGTATTAGTATATGCCTTTACTTTGTCCAAGTTATTTTTTATGAGAATCTAAAAACTGTAGGCATTTGAGATATTAGAGATTGGTTGTGACTTTTGTAATCCTAATGCAAACCCCAATAATTGTCTATTTAGGATCTTACAATTATTTTAAAATGAATACTGTAGGATGATAAAAAATAAAGGGAAATATTTTATTATTCTTTGTATGAAAATCAACCGTAAATAAACGGTATCAGCATTCTGACACATACTTTCTCCCATAAGTTTGTCAAAAACCTTTATCATATGTAAGTGGTGAGAGTAAATATACGCGAATGGGTTTTGTACAATTTTGTTAAGAATTTAAAGGACTATAACATGCTAAATTTTTATCAAAATCGTTCGGGCCATTTTTGGGAAAATCCGATTTTTCTGTTATTTTATGGGGGTTTTATGGGAAAATGACATAATTTACAACAACCGTAATTTTTACAGAAATGGGATTTGTACCATTTTGTTCAGAATATAAAGGACTATAGCATACTAAATGTTTATCAAAATCTTTCGGGCCATTTTTGGGAAAATTATATTTTTCCGTTATTTTATGGAGTTTTATGGGAAAATTCCAATTAAAAATAAAAATTTCTAAAAAATAAAAAAAAAACTATAAAAACTGTAAGGACTATAACATACAATGTTAAATCAAAACCGGATTTTTGTCTAAAATCCTATTTTTCGTTATTTTATGGGGTTTTTATGGGAAAATAACATATTTGACCATAACTTTTGAACCGTAATTTTTACAGATATGGGATTTGTACCATTTTATTTCGAATTTAAAGGGCTACAACATACTAAATTTTTATCAAAATCGTTCGGGCCATTTTCGAGAAAATCCGATTTTTCCGGTTTTTTATGGGTTTTTATGGGAAAATCCCCATTAAAAATAAAAAATTCAAAAAAATGAAAAAAACGCCTGGAGATACCATGAATTAGAACCTACATACCAAATTTCATCAAAATCGGACCACAGGTGTGGTCTCTAGCTCTGTACACATCCAGACACACAGACACACACACACACACACACACACACACACACACACACACAGACATCACTTCGAAAACCACTTTTTTGGGTCCAGGGGGACCCATAACGAATATATCCACTCAAAACTCAAACGCGAAAATTTTGACGAAAACAATACTTTCTCCATATACTATGGTATAGGGGGAGAAAGTAAAAATTAGCATTATTACAACAATTTAAGAGTAGGCGTAGTTATAATTTATCTGCTTAGAATGTATTTGTGTTCTCTGATTGTTTTGTATTTTAACAATTCCTCTGGAAGTACAATGTGTAGTAGAGAATAAGTAGGTGTCCAAGCAACTTCAGTTAACTTCCAATCATCTGAGCTCCGGTTATCTGAGAATCCAGGTTGTCCGAGTTAGCTCACGGCTGAATTTTTTTTTACCCAAATTCCAAATTATTATACTAGGTATGAGTTTCAATTGAAAATAATACTAATACATAAGTCTTGTTTTGTTATGCATACTGTTAGTTTTGGTTAAAAGTATTATTTAGTAAAATATTGCATTACAGTAGACTATCCGGACTCCTCTGGACCGAGGCCAGTCCGGATAACGGGTTTTTCGGTAAAACCGACGTCCCCAAATACTCGTTAAATGGACCATTTAAATGCATGTAACCCTATGTAACATTATGTACCAAGCGTATTAAATACGTATTTAGATTGGATAGGCCCTACATTAATTTTTTCATACAGTTAAGTTTTTCTTTCTTTCATCGTTATATTGTTATTTTAAATTCTACGTTTAGTACCTTATAATATTAATTTTAGGGACCGTTTGGCCTATTATAGTCTTAAGCATAAATTGTAGATAAACGGGTTTCATTCAAAGATGGGTTTGCTTATACTTAAGAGAAAAATAAAATTTTACGAAAAAATATCAAGAGGTATGAACTTGCAAGTAAATTTTATGCCGATTAAGAATTTGGCATTTATATAGATACAACTTCACAAATTGAGTAATTACACCAAAAGTTAAGTTAGTCCGCCCCTTAATCCTGCCCTTCGCCTGGACTAAAAATTGTCCATATTTATTCCTCGAGTTAGTCTTTGTTGCCCAGTTGTGGATTAAATATTTGGCTCCGAAACCCGATCGAATAACATTTAATTCGAGGATTAAGTAACCCGTGGCTCCGAAACCCATGAGAGTAGGTCAGGGACTAGTTAACTCTCGGAATAGACTTAGTCGTTGACTAGCGTAATCCTCGAGCTCCGAAACCCGATTTTTTAGTCCTAGAATAAAAACTGGTTTGAACTGGATTTTAGTCCAGGAATAGCGTTAGTCCCGAGCTCCGAAACCGGCCCTAAGAGTTCCTTGAACAACCTGTGATAAGTCTGTAACTTTACATCTAAATTTGTTAATTATTACTTCTATGTAATCTATTTTTGTTTTCTTCAATTTCGTTAACTATTCATTTGTTAATGGTTTATAGTCTATTGTGATTGTTAACCCTGTAGTTGAAAGGAATTTGTACATTAGACTTTCTTAGCCACTCATACTTAAGTTAACTCTGAATCTTTAGACAATGAACATGATAATAAATGATTGGATTTTATTTGGTTTGATTTGTACAAATAGGTAGTTTATTTAGTGTATATTTATAAAGATGTATTCTAGGCATATATTTGGTCAGGTCAGTACTCTTTATTTGATACTTAGGCTACTGATCATTATATTTTTGAATACATATCATAATTTTTTAAAGTTATTTTATTAAGTTAGTGTTAAACAAATGTTTATAGGAAAGCAGTCTTATTCAAAATCATAGGTCCTGGGACCACTATAAATGTTAATGTTAGCGTTCTCATTAAACAGAAATTAATGTATGTTCAAATTGTCATAGTAAAATTGTAACACTTTGATTTTTATAAAATTTTGATGAAACTAAGTAAACCATGGCACATATTTTAAAGAGTTTACGAACCTGATTTGCTTGGTTGAGATTTGATGAAATAGCGTTTTCTTAAGACATTTACGGATTTGGTTTTCATCCAAGCCTAGTTAATTCCATTGTTTTGTTTGGTCCTTGTCATGACTAGAATACTTTGGGCAAACAAATTAACGTCCGATATTAGTATGGATGTTAAAGAGAAGCATATATTACAAAATTTCTCAAAGCCATACGTTACTTAATGCTATTAGTATAGGATTAATTTAGATTTCGGGCCAAAAACGTCATTTGTTTATGTTTGTGATCCATACCGGTTCTCTTCAAGTTTTCCTGGTCCATCCTAAAAAGCATAAATGTATGGAGAGGTGGCAGTGTGCATTGCCCATTCAGGAATGTCTTATCATAGACAAAAAGAATTAAATATAGACTGGCAGCTGTGCTGCGGTTACCATGGTTACCATAGGTTCTAGCGCACACTGCTGGGAGTGCCGTGTAGTTTCGTAGCGGTTACGCCGTAAGTACCTGGCGTTTCCAGCGGTGTGCGTCAGAACCTATGGTAACCGCAGCACGGCTGACGGTCTATATTTGATTCTTTTTGTCTATGGTCTTATTCATTAGTAAGAAACAAACATTTACAAAATCTGTGAAACAAACAAATAGAATGTCTATTAATTAATAACTCTTCATTTTAATGATTTGTTGTCGTTTTCTTGTGTTTTTTATGAGTACATCAAATGTTGTTAATTTTACTTGTCTGTTGCTGTTTATAGGTATCATGTCTGTTTGGAATATTGGGAGAAGTTTATCTGTTCTCATTTTATTTGGCTCATTCCACTAATTTTTGTAAGTTTACGCTCAATCAATTTACTAGGTATAAGGCCTACAATATATTAAGTGAAAGCATAAAGAACATATTTACTGAGGTTCAGGTGGTCTATTACTTATAGTGTGAGTTCTGTCTTGAAGGTTGGTCCAAATATTGTCCATAATTACAAATGTCCTTATTATAAATTACAAATATTATTTTTCCATAATGTTTAGTTTCAAAATAGAGGACATTTAGGATGCTTAAGCTTGAACAACATTCTTTATTTAGACATATTTCATTACAATTTCAAGGATGTCAAATTTAAGAAAAGTGGTTCATAAATAAGGGTGATACCTCATTTTTAGGATAGGTACTGTGCTTACAATATTAGAAGTGGCTATCCATCCAGGGGAGGTTTGAGGGTTTATACGCCCCCTTGACCTTACCCCCCAGACCCACGGTGTAACCCCTCCCTTAGGGTCATCCTAGATACGCCCATGAATATTAGTGCTCTTTGGGTAACTAACAATTGAAACAGCTGACTGTTTTAGGTTACTAGCATTGTTTTTTACCCAATATTGTAGATATAGTTTGATACACAGTATGAAATTAGTTTTCTCTCTTATTTATTAACCAAATTTTAATCATAAAGAAATTGTCTGAATAAAATATAGCTTTTTAGTAGTTTTTTTGTTTGTTTGTTATTTAGGTTAACAAATTTAATTGTCAATGGCCACAATTTTGTACTAAATATTATGGTTTTTGAGAAATTAATTTCTGTACCGTACCAAATTTAGATTCAGTACAAAAAGCCGTTATTGAATAGAAAATAGTTTTGTCAAAAATAAAATGGCACCTTTACAGGTCACTTTTGAGGTTTGGAATTTTTTTAGGGGATATTTTAGTTTGTCTTTGGTGCAGGAATGATACCTTAACACTTAAAAAGGTTGCTAGGCTTTGGGGACACCCTGTATGGAAAACAAAAAGTTACCACATCACTCGGGAGAATAAACATTTCTCTAGATTGAGAACTTTCTCCTCTAAAAACCACGAGGATGAGACAATTAAATTTTCAACGTTTAAATTCCAAATCATCTTAATCTAACAAATAAATCTAGTAGGAGTTAAAATGGCAAAACAGTTTTACAACTAATTTGGTAAATTTAGTTTATTTGATGTTTTAAGTTAAAACATTTACTAATTCATCTATTTTTACTATATTTTATGGCACATACACTTTTTACAACTGAAGTACCTAATTGGTAAGAGGAAAATGAGACTAAAAGACGGAGAGTGACATATACTTTGTTGAATACAAGTCAATCAATACTTAAATAAAAAAAAGATATAAATGGTGTTATTAACGTGAATACCTCAATTATTACAACTTAACTTAGTAAAATACTGTACAACAGTTTTGAAGTTTATAATTTAATTTGCTGTTGCTTTACTACTTTGTGATATTACTTCAATTTCTTATTTCAGGGTTAAGGACCATTATGTTCACCGACATCCTGCTCAAGTCGATGCAAGCAACATTTTCATTGTTCCTGCTTCTTGGAGCATACCAAGTAAGACACAAATTACGTGATTACCATTAATAATGTGAACAACATTATTTTGTACATTTGTCGTGATTTTTATTACTCATTTTTATTTTCTTCTGTGATAAAATTGTTGATATAGAAAGGAGTTTGAACAAATAACAACACTAAAAGAAGTTAGATAAAAACTTGAGTTTTCAACTGAAAAATGATTTTAACAAAATTCTGAGGCAGCATTTAGAATATTCTCTTCATGAATAAAAGTACAACTATATTCAAGTAATAACCTATTTGTTAAAAAAATACAACATATTTGCAATAGGTGAAACGTAAACTAACCAGAAATATACATTCATAAGTACCGTACCATTAGTAGTCTAAATCATAAATGTTACTGACTAGGACCCAGTTGTTATTAATTCAGGATATCTTATAATGATCTAAAGAAAGAGTCAGTGAACAAATCTGCACAGGTCATCTCAACATATTTTATAACATTTTTATTAGCTCGCTTTCTCGTCCGGTACAAATTTTGAAATCAATTTTATACTAGAGACTTGAAACTTGAAACATAGCTCACAAATGGAAGACAATGCAATATTGTATCATTTAATTTTCATATTTCCCTTGGGCTACGCCCCATGGGCTTGTTTTTATTAAATCGCTTTCTTGCAAATTTTTATACTTCCCGATGAGCTAGAGACTTGAAATTTGAAACATAGCTCATAAATGGATGACAATGCAATATTATATCATTTAATTTTCATATTTCCCTTGGACTACGCCCCATGGGCTTGTTTTTATTAGCTCGCTTTCCTACAAATTTTGATATCAATTTTAAACGAAGTTCCCGTTGAGCTAGAGACTTGAAACTTGAAACATAGCTCACAAATGGATGACAATGCAATATTATATCATTTAATTTTCATATTTCCCTTGGGCTACGCCCCTTTGGCTTCCAAATTTTCCATGTTTACATTTTAAAAGAATGTAAACATATAAATTAATTTCAGTCAGCTGTAAATACTTAAATTTGACTGTTAGAAGAGCAGAGGTTAAGAGGTACAGGTTCTGCTCCCGAGATCTAAAAATATAAAACAATCATTTCAAAGTAAAGATAAAACATCTGATTACAGATAATAAGGTTTTGGGTTTTGGTTATGTATTAAGAGGCAATATCAAATAGATTTAACATATTTACTCATTAGAGACTAAAAACTAGAAAATAATTTATAAATAAAAATACTTTTTAAAAATGCCACGTTTTTAAACGCACTAAAAAGTATAAAATAATTTATAAAATGTTGAGAGAATAAATACTTGTAAGATTTAAAACAAAAAATGTGGGGCGCATGCAATAGATCATAATAGTTCAATAGGTGAAGTTAATTGTAAATCAGCATGCGCCCCACGTTTTTTGTTTTAAATCTTACAAGTATTTATTCTCTCAACATTTTATAAATTATTTTATACTTTTTAGTGCGTTTAAAAACGTGACATTTTTAAAAAGTATTTTATTTATAAATTATTAAACTCACCTAACACACATTTCAGCACAAAATGCATGTTTTGTTAACATAATTAACCAACAAATCTGATTAATAGCAATGTAGGAAAATGTATAGCACAGTGGCGGTTCTAGGACCTTGTTAAGGGGGGGGGGGACTACCGGGATTGTTCGGAGAGGAGGTGACTTAATAAAGTCATTTATCACGTCTAGGACTATATCCAAAAACCTCCGTTATGTTTTTATGACAAAATGTATGTTTAAATTTATTTTTCCATGGTCTGACGGGGGATGACTTCAGCCCCTGAAGCCCCCCTTGGAATGTCAACTGGTTTAACAAGGTTTTGTGATGTTTCAGAAACAGGCGAGATACATCCTATGGTGGGTGATCTCCAACTCAGTCCTCACATTACTTGGTATCATCGGCTTGACTATGCTGCTAGTAACACTTCACGTCATCACATCTACCGTTGTTTTCTACGTCTTCTCCAACCGTGAGTTGCATAGTAATTACTTAGGACAGTAAAAGTACTCTTTCATCTAATCTGAAACATTTTTAGTTGGGTGTGTTTAACTTTCAGTTAGCCTAGAGAGCGATGAGACTGTTAAATCTTGAGTTTTTGTCAAAAAGTCAATTTTGGTCCTAGTGATGAAATATTATATTATGTTCATGGATTCAAAAGCTTAGATCACAGTGAATAAAACACCACCATACCATGTTAATTTAAAATTTGACTATTGATAACTAGACATGTCATCCCTATGTTTAAGTTGTCTGCAGTTTTTAAATCAAATGGACGTAGTTGAATTGAGCCTATGACAGATTGCGCTAACGTGAATTATAAAATTCTTTTAGATACTTTTTAACCAAATCTAACTTATTGGACGACTTAGTGTAAGTTATAGCATCATTTTTGTCACTTCAACAATCTCAGTAAAGACAAGGGCAGAAAATAGAATTTTAGGCACTAACACTGTCTATGAACGGCTCATTCAACTATGTATTTTTTTATGAAAAATTGGAAATAACTGGTCCATACAGATGGAATTTCTACTTCAGTACGGTATTCAAAAATCAATGTTTAAGCTCTAAACTAAAGGTTTTGTTTTTTTTAATAAAAGTGAAACTGATCAATAGAAAATAAACAACCTGCCCATGGCCTTCATAGAAACAGATGGTTCAACTGGAGATAAAAGTTGGTAAAACATTGATAACTATTAACATTGCATATATAATCCAAAGTCACAGGTTGTCTTGGATCAATGATAAGGTGAAGATGGTATCAGGATTGAGCTTAATTTAGTAAAACACAAGTCTATTTTTAATTCAATGACGCTGGCTCATTAAAACGTTTTTAATCGTTACTGTACAAGTTTCAACGTTATGACTATTGTTATCTCGTGAGAACAAGCTCAACGTTCACTGATGGATTTATTTTTCTGAGAAATTTAAAGTCCATCTATGGATCTTGACGTTAACGCACTCTGTTAACCGCCACGGTCCCTATTTCTTTGACGCAACTAGTTTCAAACTGTTGAACCGGCTACTATCACAGATACCGTAATCTTTGCTTATATTGAGGCAAATATAAAACTTTTTCAATATTAAAATATTTTTGCAACTTAGTTGTGAGTATTTAAAATTGTGTCCTTGTATGTACATTAATGTCCACACTAGTGATTAGTACAACTATCCACAGTACTATCCAGATAATTAGACCAATTTGTTAATTACAAGGACAAAAATGTGGTTTGGATTCCACTATCCCGATTGTCACAAACATAAATTATCACAACCCCAATGCTGTAAAAAAATTACGGTCCAAAAGTTATTGCAACTTTTAAGTACCATACTTTTTCCCACCGCTTGCCCATGATAAGGCTTGCTGACAAGGTAATGGAAGAAGGTATATGTGTAAATTTGCTGATACCGTCTATTTTTTTTTCAGTTGTCGACATCTACAGTATTCTAGTAGTCTACAGCTATTACTACGAAATATCAGAGAACCTTCCAGTATGATTTTAATATTATTTATACATGAACTGAGTGATACTGTTTTTGTAATTGTAGTGTTTAAAAATTGTATTTTTGTTACAATAAAACTTTTATATTTAAATATTAGTGTGGCGTTTTAAAATTATTTAACTTTTTGCCTGTTTTTAATAACCCTCTCTAAATTATTTAGTTGCTGTCTACAAATCCATGGTTATATTTTATTTGATCGTTCTATTTCATAAGAAATATAGAATTTACACATAAAAACATTTTTTATGTCATTAAATAAAAAGTTGCTACTATTATGCTTGGGGGACCATATATCTAAATTACTTTACCTACAACTAATTCATTTTTTCAGAAATTTGCTAAACAAATGTGTGAGAGTCCTTTAAACGTAATTGAACATAATTATTGAACATAATTAATTGGTACATTTTACCCAATTTTGTATGGAGGAATACAACAAATAGCTATCAAAAACATATTTTCAACACAATAAATTATAAAAATTATCTTTTCAGAAGCAAAATTGAAATATTGATTTAACAATATTAACAAGAAACCAGTTCATGCTTATGTAATGTTTTTGTTTCAATAAAACCTTTGATTTAATCAATAATTATTCAAATAATCTCAAAAAGAAAATTGTAAGCAGTAAAATTATTTGTCAAACTATTCTCTTCAATTTAATTGAATAAAGGACAAAAACTTTCTATCCTAGTGGTTACGTAAATATGTAGCCAACAATACTGTTAACATAATAATTTATCTCAAAATGTTTAGTACCTAGGCATAAAGAGTACTTGATCTAATCTAAGATACTTGTATATGCAAGATAATGTTTGTGTGCACACAGCGACTTTGGAACTTAAAGCTGCAAAGGGACCCAGTTTCAATCTTTCACAACAGTTTTGACTAGATACTGTAGTTGTGTTTATCTCTCATAGTTCAATGCTCAGTTGAATAGCGTTTTGTACAGCAAGAAATCACTACTTTATGACTAAGACGTGAGTTTATATTATATTGCTTGCCTGATTTATGGTTAGTTAAAAACATTTATGGATTGATTGAATTTGTCATTTCAACAAAAATAAAAGTAGAATTTATATCCAATAGTTTAAAACAATTTTTTAAGCACTACAAAGTATAATTTTAATCTTGAATGCATCTTTTACAACTAATATCCATTTTAGATACTAGTTTTACGTAGCATTAATAAAATATTATTAATGCTTGATATTTTACATCTTGTGCTTTCCCCTAGATCCACAAATTTTTAGGTAATAAACCTCCTGTTAAATAACTTATCACCTGATTTACACTTCCCTTGCGATTGTATGCATTGTGTGTTAAATTGGACAAAGGTACAACTTCACCTAATCACCTCTTGCAGTTTTAGCAAATTTCCCATATAGGGAATAAGCTATTAACGTAGGTCTAATGGTAAGACCAAGACCCGGGACCGGTTTACTTTTTCGTTTTGAGGTCCCCAGAGGCCAAAAACATCCTCCGTTCAAATATATATATATATGTTATGTGTTTGTTAGCGTGATAACTCGAGCAAAAATGATCCGATTTTTTTAAATTTGGTACAAACGTGTTACATTACGAGCATGATTGTACTATGGGAACGGGAGTTTATAGGGTAAAAATTTGGTTTTCCCATTTTCCACCCTAAAACACAAAATTTCACAATTTCTTACCAAACCATTTTGAAGAGATAAAAAAAGAAATAATTTTGTGAAGCGTTGTTGTATGCCTATCAGTTACAGAGATAATAAAAAAAAATTAAATTTAAAATTCCCATGTTATTCTTAGGGAGAATAAATAACATTTTGTAGTTTGTTTATTTATGGATATATTTTAATCAAATCTGGAAATTTTGTTAATTCCATACCAAGCTATCAACATTTCAATAAAAAAAACCACACCTCAATACCTTCCCTGTAGCAGCAATCCTAAGTAGGTACTCATTAATGTTATTTAAATAGGAAATAAATCTCACAATTTTAAGGGAATATTTAAGTAGAAATCCAGCCAGGAAAATGGAAATTCGCTTAGTCTGCAGGTTTGTTGTGGCGGGGGTATAGTTAACTAGGTATAGCTCAAACCAATCTAGAAAAAAAAACACTAGTCTCTAATATATTTTAGGTAACATTTATATTTTATATATAAAGACTACAAGATCGCGCCACTTATCCTACACTCATCCTTCACTCATATTTGGGTTAAAATATGCACATAGTGGCGTCCCCATCTTAAATAATTGATTGATTGATTGATAACTTATATAGGCTTGTGGGGTCAACTTAACAGCTACATGCTCTGTCTTGCATTTTAGTATTTATTTTCAACTGTTAAATGCTTGTTGTTTTTGTTTAGTTGATTCAATTACCCTCTTATTTTTATCAAATTATAGGCCTACACCAGAAATTATACAGCCGTCATTTTTGTCCGTATAGTGTGTTAAACACAACACACTATTTTAATAGTGAACCGAGTTATTAATTTATATTAACTTACACACAGTTTAACACACTATTTTAATGGCACAACAACTGCCTATGTGTAGTATAAATTATCAACTCGGTTCACTATAACCTACACTTTACCTTCCTAATCTAATCTAACTTTAAAACACTTAATACAGTCACGAATCCGCATAAGCCCGACTTGCCTTCCGCACATGCCTAAATAAAATCATTAAAAATCATTCTGAAATAAGTTATTCAGTGCCGTGTTGTTTCTTAGATGTTTGTAGTACATATACTTTGAATGTCTTTGATTGACTTATTAGCGAATTTCCCTATAGGGAAGTAGCTATTACCGTAGTACTCATGGTAAAACCTGGACACACACACACATATATATATATATATAATGAATTAAATTAATTAATTAATTGTGAAAACAATTTTAATTCAATTGTAAAACTACTATATATAACATGAATATTATACAGGGTGATTGATACTCAGTGTGACAAAATTTTTTGGTGTAAGTACAAAGTAAATGAAGTGTGATGATGCATATAAAATGTTCCAAGTCTAAATTTCCGTCTCATTGGAAAGAGTGTGTCGCGTAGATTTGCAAACTGGCCTTACATTTTTGAAAAAGTCCCTTGGGCTCTACCCCAGTGGATTTGAAAGTGCCCATGTTATCCTTATGGAGAACATAAATGTTTACATTTTGATCGATCAGCTGTATAATTTAATTGCTGTTATTTATTTTTCAATTTAACGCGTTTCGCATTGCCCTGATTGATGGCCTGTTGGGCAAAGCCCGAGGACTTTTATTACAGGAATTGATAAAAGGGGGCGTCTATAAAAAATACTTAATTTTGAAACATCGTTTGTAAAAATCCGTCCATTATTAACGGAGGAGTAGTGTTTGGTAGAAATCACCTTCACGTATTATTTATGAGGATGGAATGCAAATAATACATTTTAACTAACTTTGGTTAAGTTAACCCTATCTTAATCTACATTAAAAAATAAGTTATGGCAGTTCTAGCTTTATTGTGGGTCCTTTTGTTTAGTAATAACTTTTTCAATAAGTTTTTAAATGATTGAGTCATAAACGGTGTTGATGATTTACTAGTACCGGTACTATGATTATTGGTTTTCAGATAAACATGGATCAGACAATACCAGATTGGTTGAACAAGACATTCTTATCAACGTGTCTGCAAGGGAATGGTCCTGATGCTTCCCCTGTTACCATCAACTGGTATGATGTAACGGCAGGAGTGGCTCCTGGAAACAACTACGGAAGTGTAATTCTACGAGTCAAAGTTAAATACAGAGAGGAAAACAGAGATAAAGATAAGTCTTTAATAATCAAAGGACCTATCAGCAATAGTCTAGTGGATGCAATCGTCGAGCTTTTCGGAATGGCAGAATACAGCTTTTACTACTTGTACCTCCCAAAACTGGCTGATATTATCAAAGATTGGATAACACCAAAGGCTTACCACACACCTATGAGCTCAGTAATCGTTCTGGAGGACTTGAGTGAGTTAGGGTTCACAATGGCCGACAGACAAAAACAATTGGATTTTGACCACTGCAAACAATACTTTGCAGCTTCAGCAAAATTCCATGCAGCCGGAGTTGTTCTAGCCAACCAGCATCCTGAACTGATAGAAAAGTTCCCAGGAGTTTTAGAAAAAATGATAAAAAGCAGTGATTACTCGCAGTTGAATCTTTTCATGCACGATATACTTGTCGGGTTAAAATGTTTGATTAAAAGTATAGAAGTTCTAGGTCTTGATGAGTACAAACCGTACTTAGAGACGATAAGGAAGTTTGTTGAACTAAATGAGAATCCTAAGGATAATGTGCGAGAATTGGGTCTCAGGAAAATGGCAGAAACAAATAAAAAAATGTTCAAGTCATTCATCCATGGAGATTGTTGGACAACGAATATGATGTTCAAGCACAATCAGTCTGGACCAGGACCAACTGACATAAGGCTGATTGACTTCCAAGGGTTTCGCTATGATTCTGTTGTTTCTGATATACCGTAATCAATTTCACTTGGATGAGTTGCAACAATGACGTTCTTCAGTATCATCTAAATGAACTTTATTGTGTGTACTGTGACACTCTGAATTCGACACTGGAAGAGTATGGTTGTTCTGAAAGATATTCTTCTGAAAGTTTAAAGGAAGAAGTTTGCGAAAACAGTTTTCAAGTGCTGTCAATGGTGTGCATGATGCTTCCTCTCACCCAGCATGATGAACTCATAGACTCTTCTAAGATGTTTACTGGGAAAATTACAGAAGAAGACATCATCAAGTTTTACAGAGGAACAAACTTTTCAAGAAAATTTCCACAAGTCTTGAGGTTTGTAGCTGATCAAGGAATCTTTGATCACATGGAAAAAGATTTGTCACAGTACAAACAATTGTAATGCTCTTTCACACATCAGATAATTATTTCAAAATTTGTGCCCTTTAAAAAATGTCACCTGCAAATAGATGGATGGATATACAGTTATCAAATTCAAAATAAATAAGACAAATAATGTTTAATGTTAATGTTTTTAAGTTTGTAAATAAGAAAAATTTGTGGTGTTAGAATGCTATGGTTTGAACAAATGATTTGCCACGATTTTAACAAATAAATGGTTTAACATCAAAATGTAATGTGCTGAGTCTCGTAAAAATAAAACTTGTGATTGGAATTTTTTCCGTTTGTTTTGATTTTTTACTTGTTGTTTTGCTTGTTTTTTGATTTGTTGTTGTCACCAGCATGGTAAACCCATGAGGCCCATGTTAATTTTTAAATATTTAAAATACATTTTTTGGGCTTATTTTTTAGCTTATTTTAATTTATTACATCTATTTTCACCCCATGCTGTAAATAAAAATATGTGATTGTAATTTATTCCATTTGTTTTGATTTTCTGTTTATATTTTGTTGTTAATTCGTCACCAGCATGGCAACTCATAAAGCCCATGTTAATTTTGTTAAAATATTAAATTCATTTTTTGTGCTCATATTTGAGCCTATTTACATTTTTAAAGGGGTTCTGCACATCTACAGGAAAATATCTTTCTAACAGTATGCGTAGATTTTCCATGTGATGAACAGGAGCTGAGAAAACAGGTTTTAAAGAAACACGAGGTGTTAGCCCGTCCTACGTACGGGAATTCAGTAGTCAGTTAAAACCGCGTACAATTCAGATCAGCTAGTTTACACAAATAAAGGCAAAGTTTCTTGCAGTTTTAATGTGAAAAATCATCTTGTAAACAAATGTTGTGTGACCAAATATGTTTTTATTCCAACATAGGCCTATACGATATGCATTTTAAATCCGATAATTTTACAATAAAACAGAAATTCTGCAGTTTTTACGATGTGAAAAGCGTTGAAGTGAGATTTGCAGCCGATTCGCACAGACGCACACTGATTATAAGTACGGTAGGGGAACACTTCCATATCTGTTGGCACAAACAACCAAATGAGTAATTTTGATTATTCGATTGTTTATTTCAATATATCGTTTGGTTGGGTTAATCTTACCTTACTAACCAAACGATATATCGATCAATATTTTCATTCGGTTGTTTGTGCCAACGGATATGGAAGTGTACCCATAAGTAGCCTACGGTAGAGAGAGTAATAGTCAATTGAGAAGTGTATAGACCTAGTCAACGATACCACCTTCCATAGCATACCTGCCTCTTCCATAATTATTATCACCAAAATACAACTGCTATACACAATCCAGTAAGTCTGAATAGAAACGACCTAAAATAAAACGATAATATCCATTAAAATTCATAGTACACATAATTTAACTTTGGTGTCCTAACATCAAAACTAATCGTCACCCCTATCCTTTACATCAATTTCACTGCATTAATTGCCAAATAAATAAGTGTAAACAAAGAAAAGTAAAAACAATAACAGTTTGTTTTGAAACAGCTGTTTGGTTCAAATAACATTCATTTGAAAAAAAGAACTGGTCACATGTAGCAGGAATATAAAAAGTAAACACGCTAGTAAAGCTAATGAAGTAATTGTCAATGTTTATTATCCATACCGTTATCAGTTCTATCCTTGATAATTACCCACCCTCATTGAATAAACGTACATCGTAATTTCCCATATTAGTTAATTTAAACTACAATATATTCGTAGTTGAAATAAAAGTGATATTTTCACGTTTAGGGGCACTGATATAGGCGCCCCTAAACGTAACCACAACTGAACACGATTTCATAAAAGGATGGTTTGTATAATTGCAGTATCCTAGGTCAATGTTGACGTTGTGTTGAATCTATGTCATCCATCTGTTTATCTTTGTATAAAACCAGGCTGAGGTTGTGGTGGTAATTTAAAATCGTGATTCCTGATTATTCTTGATCTTCTTTTTATGGCACCAATATTTCCGGGCCTAATCCAAACAAAGTTAACGCAGACAAACATTAATTGTAAAAAAAGCTACCATTAAGAATTAAGACATGTAAACATTGTTATTTTTCTAATCTTTCCTTGAAAAGTAGAGCAGTAAAATAATTTGCATTTATCCTTTTTTGTTAAGACTCGTGTACAGAGCCTCGATTTGTACTGTGGTTTAATTAATTTTGGTTAAAACTGAGGTCTAATTATCTTTACTAATCTTACTTATTTCCTATAATCAATGACAAAATAAGAGTAAATAAAATAACCTCATAGTTCCATAGTTTATATTTAACCAGCTACCAATGATTTGCATTACACATAGTATAAATAAGTCAACCCTTAGTATGTCTTTGCATTTTTATCCAAATGCTGAATTTGTGACACAAAAGCTGAATGTTTACAGCTGTTATGTTAAGCAAATTATTTTATGCCAAAAGCTAGTTTAGAATCTTAGCGTCGGCTGCTAGACTTTTTAAAAATTAAAACTTAATTTCTGAAAAACTGGGACCCGGCTAAACTAAAATTATGGCTTCGACATTCCCTAGTTCTCAAAATTATCTTTCTTTCAACACAAAAATCATGAAAATCCGTCGAGTGGTTGATTCAGAATCGTGAAATAAAAAAACACAGTTTCGTTTTAATATTATAGATGCTTTCCTATTAATATATAGCTAGATTAACTTATTTAATTGTATGTATTCAAGGCTTTAACTTCAATATATTCTTAGAAAATTCTCAGGTCTATCAAAATAAAGTAAACATAATGTTATGACTTTTATATTGTAAAAAAACTTTAAAAAATATGCATAAGCATATGATTGTCATTCTGAAAACATACATTTGTGCCGTTTGAATGCTGTATGTTGAACGTAGGATTTACCACATTGTTCACAATTGAATGGTTTGATATCAGAATGTAAAAATACATGAGTTCTCAAAACATCCTTTGTTTTAAATGAGTCTCCACAGCTGTTACATTTATAGGGTCTTATTTTGTTGTGAGTTTGTTTATGAGTATTTAGATGACTCCATTGAGTAAAATCTTTTCCACATTCCTCACATTTGAAAGGTCTCAACCCAAAGTGAAAGGTCTGGTGAACTTTGAAATTGCTTGAATCTCTGAATGATTTGTCACAAATGTTGCACATATAAGGCTTCTCCCCTGTATGAACAAGTTCATGTCTCTTTAAATGAGGCAACTGTGCAAAGGTCTTAGAGCAAAATGAACATGAGTATGACTTCATTCCAGTGTGAGTGAGACAATGAATTCTTAAAAATTTCTTTTCCTTGAAGGTGGCTCCACATGTTTCACAAGATAAATGTCTATTTTTAGAATGAGCTTTAATTTTATGAAAATTTAAGCTCTTTGAACATTTGTCACAACAGAATTTATTATTTGGCTGAGTATGTAAAAGATCAATATGGATTCCTTGATAACTCTCATATTTGAATGACTTTTTACAATGAGTGCATTTGTATTCCTGTTCTGTGAAATGTGACACATTGTGTGTTTTCAACTCCTCCTTGGTTTTAAAACGTTTTGTACATCCCAAACAAGAAAAGGGAAATATTTTGGAAAAGCAAATGGCTTTTTGACACTGATTAAATTTTCCAATGTCAGTTCCACAAACTCTACATTTCTTGGTTGCTTCTGGATGTAAGTGATTCCTACTGTGATTAACTAAAGCAGACTTTTTACTAAATATTGTATTATAGCTGGCACCAGAGAAGGATATTCCGTGTTGAGCTTCATGAGTTTGTAATGAATCTTTAGTCTTAAAACTTCCACCACAAACTCCACATATGTGGCGTAGATTTCTTGCATTGAGATTATGTTTCAAAACACTGACAGGTATATTATCATCTGAGCATGTTTTGGCATCCTCACACCTGTGATTTGTAAGTTGTTCTTCTCTTCTGTAACATCTGTTACATTCAACACAGACAAACATCTTCAAATGTGGCTGAATATTCTTTTTCTTTACTAGTGGGAGTTCAGTGTTGAGTGATGTTTCAGGAAGTTGGTTTACCTGTTCTTTCCCTGCAGAAACACACTTTTGACCCTGTAAAAACAAACACCCCATTGGTACGCAATAATAAATAATATTTACAAAAATTAATATTAGAGTTCAATTGCTTTTTCACACATAAATGTGTTCATCCACCCTGATATTATTAATAATAGTACTGGAGCTCTAAATGAGTAATTCAGAGGATATTTAAAAATTGTATTAACATTTTTCATATGGATACTGATTCAATAACGTATGGATACTGATTCAGAAATGTATAAGGATACCAATAACCTACGAATACTGATTCAAAAATGTATATGGATACCGATTAAATTTTTTTCCTAGGAGGCTAGGCACGAGCCTGGGATTGTTTTTCACAAATACTTCAGGCTAGACCTAGGGGTTGCGGCATTATCACTTACATAAAATCCATTGGTAACTTGGCGGGAATTGAACCCGGGACCTCAGGGACTCAAGTACCACGCTCTACCCACTACACCAGCTTGCTACCCCAAATACTGATTCAATACCGTATATGGATACTGATTCAATAACATATATTCAATTCAAATCAATTCAAACAATTTTATTCATGCAATTCTTAAATTAATTACAAAAAATGTGCCATGCAAAGCACGGGCGAGATGAAAAACATACATATTTATTAATACATTTAATTTTTTTGTTTCTGGCAGCAAACAGTTCATTTTCCCTCCTTTATCACTTTTACAGAACAGTGAGTAGACATTTCCTATTGCAACAGTTTTAATCATATAAATAATACTTATGCTATAAATAAACAAATTAGAATAAATTTAATAAGAACATGCTTTTTTAGAAAGACAATATAAATTCTATACATGCAAATATAAATAGTTAGGTATTAATCTAAAACAAAGCTAAAAATAAGTTACAGATTATTTATGCTATATTATGATTGATAGAAAACAACAAAGCTTTTGACTTTATCACAGACCTTTCATCATTATAAACTTCATTACCGAACATTTTTACAATCGCATTAAAACATTTTGGACCAAGACAACAAAACTGATGCCTACTAGTTTCCTTTTTAAAAAAAGCTTTCTGCTAACAGGTAATATTGTGCTGATCGAGATATTCTATTGACAGGTTTCATATTAAACATTTACGGACATTTAAAAACAAACATAATCAAACAGTATACATGCAACTGATTATAGGTTAAAAGCTTTTCTTGTTCAAAAAGATAGCTTACTCTATCAGATTTTTTTTATATGGATACTGATTCAATATCGTATATACTTATTCAAAAACGTATATGGATACTGATTCAATAACATATATGGATACGATTTCAATAACGTATGTGTATACTGATTCCCTGTGAATTGTATTGTATATTGTATTGATCATCACTGAATCGAATCGGAATTCCTATGCATTTTCGGTGCATCGCAGACCCCTCATATGTAATCCCGTCCCAATGATCGGGAATACACGATCCTGAAAATTTGGTTCAAAGTTTTGTGACCCGTTCATCCCTAATTTTGAAGGGTTAGATTATTCCCGACCTTCGGCTGAAATTCATTACTATTTCACAACTTTTGCCGGCCTTTCTCTCATGTGCAGCTATGTGCCATTTCACCCACAAGTTACACAAAAAACTATTTATTTACTAGGCTTGAATTCCAAATAAATAAACAAATAAAAAATGATTTATTTTCACATTAACGTTTTGAATCATAGCACAGCTAAAAAACAGATGACATTGTCAAGATTATTACAAACTTAACCTAATGTATCACAATGCAAGAAACAATGTCATAAAAGCCACTTAGTGATGTCGCAGAAAATGTATAACAAACTCAGTAAAATTGCAAAATCGTATCAAACTCTCTTGATATTTTCTACAATCTATATATTAATTACGCAAGCAGATTCTTTGTGTTAAAATTGTGGGTGACTGGGAAGTCGTAAAACGACGGGAGAGGGCTCAAATTAAAGGTCTCAATCCCGTGACGGCGGAAAAAATAGTTACATTCCCCATATTTTAACACAAAATTAGATATAACTTAAAATGTTCTCCATAATAAAATCATTAGAAGCAATTTACTGCTGATATTTGTTTACTTCAATACAGATGATCGTGATTTATCATTAAGCCAGTAAGCAATATTACATTTGGATTACTCATTTGCCAGTCAAACCTGCAATGTACTGTATACTATACTGTATAAAACCAGGTTACCTGTAAGAAATGAGACTTTTTAGATACACCTTAGAATGTTGAAATCAATTATTTTACTGTACAATTTGCAAACTTTGTGTATTATTAAGTAAAGTAGTTAAGCGTATGCACAGACAAGGGAAACAAAGTTTGTTTCCTTAGTCAATGGTGTATGATAAGTAGTAGAATCATAGGAGATGGCTCAAATCAAAGGAATTGAACTTAGAATGGATGAAAAAAATTAGGTTTTTTATCCTCCTAATTTGAAGGTTATTGTTAATGTTGTGTCGAAGAAATGTTTAACAAACAAAAAAAACCCATATTGACTATAGGTCGGCCGCTTAGAAAACGACCTGCGCGCTAATGCTAAACCAATGCTGGAGGAGGTCGTTTTCTAAGCGGCCGACCTATAAATAAAATAAACTATTCAAGATTAGATGGAAAACTTCTGCTTTGTTTGGATTTCAAACCATGTGTTCAGGGTTTATTCTACACTTTTTTTGTATATTTACTAACATTTTTAATTTGTGATTTATTGTAATGTTTTTCTATGGAGTGGAATAACCTCAATGGCCACTATTAGAAAACAACCTGGGAATAAAAATAATTAGGTTTGTACAGGAAATATTTGTTCCAATGGGCGGAAAAACAATATTGTTTGGAGGAGATTTTCACCATTTACTGCCTGTTGTCCAAGCAAAAAAGGTTCAAATAATATAGCCTAGCATGCACGGTGGTAAAGGGAGCATCCATATATAACAGTAAAACCTAGAGGTAGTTTCCGTTTTTTAAAACTAACCAAAAGTATGCATGTTGAAGATGCTGATGGAAAGTAATTTCGTAATTGGTTTCGATAACTGGGTATAGGAATCCTAACCAGTCGCAAAATTGTTAGAAATCAGCCGTTGATTATGCCCTTTTTTATAGAATATGCAGTCAATAACACCTTTAGGAGGATTACCATCACATAATCTTACACTAAGCTAATAGTGGTTTTTTTATGTTGATCAGAAACAAATCTAGCGTTAAGTTTGGTCAATGGGATGCCTTTACCTTTCACTAATTTTGTTAAACCTTTACAAAAGGAGCATCGACTAAAAAAATTATAACTGGGTCGGGGTGCTAATTGAGCGGTTTTGACCAAGAACTAAGCTTATCTCAAACACACATTTATTTGCCTTTTCATATTTTGAAGAAGACAATTTCCAATATTTAAATCAGGGAATCCTTTTTATTATCATTAACCAAAATACCAAAACTACCTTAGTAAACCAATATTTATTCACAAACATGTTTGCTGCCTTTAGCAGAGTTAAACCTCTGGAGTAATATAAATTATTTATTATTTTATTATATCAACAAAAGCAAACTATGACAAACAACACACAAAATATATGTTGTACTGGGATATCTATCATTTCAAATAGATTCTGAGTTTGTTTAAATATTACAATAGTTTGTTTTACATTATTTTCAGCTTTTTAGGAACTTATGTCCAAACATGCCACTATAGTTATATGTATAAATGGCTTTAAAATAAAACTCTTTTATTTTCCTCTCAGAGTTATATGAGGAGTAGAAAATTGTATTTTAGTTTGAAAGCTTATGTTTTATGCCCTTTTATTAAGTTAAGATTCTTGACTGTTGCTAATAATGTACATCTATAATATATATAGCAAATATATATATTTATATTCTATCCTAGGCCAATAAAACTTTCAATTTGAGGCGACTCATAACTTGTGCTTATATAAATATATATATATATACATATATAGAAGGAAGAGACATTTCAGGTTTAGTAAAAAAAGAGGAAACCAAGTTTTATAGCTTATATTTTGCATGAAAACAGTAGAAACAAAATGCATACAAAATATGATTGTCATGCGGAAAACGGACATTTGTGGCGTTTGAATGCTGTGTGTTGAGCGTAGGATTTACCACAATGTTCACAATTGAATGGTTTGACATCAGAATGTAAAAATACATGAGTTCTCAAAACATCCTTTGTTTTAAATGAGTCTCCACAGATGTTGCATTTATAAGGTCTTGCTTTGTTGTGCCTTTCTTTATGAGTATTTAGATGACTCCGTTGAGTAAAATTTTTTCCACATTCCTCACATTTGAAAGGTCTCAACCCAAAGTGAAAGGTCTGGTGAACTTTGAAATTACTTGAATCTCTGAATGATTTGTCACAAAAGTTGCACATATAAGGCTTGACTCCTGTATGAACAAGTTCATGTCTCTTCAAATGAGGCAACTGTCCAAACTTTTTGTCACAGAATGAACATTTATGAGATTTTACACCAATATGACTCTGAGTGTGGATTTTCAATGCATATCTACTTCTAAAAAACTTTCCACATTCAGCACACTTGCTGTGATTGTAATTTTTTGAATGCATTTTGAGTATGTGTTGTTTTAAAACTGATTTATCATGAAATATTCGTGAACATTCACTGCATTTAAATATTTCATGTTCATGAATAGCTCGTATATGTTTCGTGAGTCCTGATTTATTTTTGAAATGTTTTTTACAATTAGTACATTTGTAATTCTTTTCTGAGGAATGTGATAGAAGGTGACTTTTCAAAGATTGTCTGGTTGGAAAACGTTTTGTACACTGTGAACATGAATGGAGTAAGGTTCTGAAACCAAAATTAATTTTTGGGTGCAATGGGAGTTCTTTTCCAATTTTGTCTTTACGAATTGCACATTTTCTCTTGGTTACCATAGGGCCAAAATAACTTCTGCAGTGATTAATCAAAAGATATTTTTTATCAAATTGCATATTACAGTTGGCACAAGCAAAAGAATTACTGTGACAAGCTTTATGCAC